GTTTTCAACGTAGCACCAAAATTATTGCAAAACACAGTAGGAAATAAAAAAGCGAAACATCACAATTTTGCAAATAACTAAGACGAAACTATAAACAGAAACGGAAAAATGAAACTAACCAAGAACATAAATAAATACACGTCACATCTTTGGAGTCTTTGGTTAAGTTTTTCTCCCATAAGGCTTAAAAATGGAGTAAGAAATCATAATTTCACCAGTAGCCCCATCTAGAGTTTGGAGCAAATAGCATAAAAAATGTCAGTTGTCGGTTTTGACCTTGGTCATTCACGTGGAACCTCTATGTGCTTTGTGTGTATCATAGTACAATTTAATAATAAATTCAACCATAAGAAAATAAGTCACAAATATGCACGTTGGCTGCAGGACTATTACTATCAGTTAATACTTCAATTACATATTGTAGTTGTTCTATTGTGTAAATATTAAAATTTAAAATTACAGATTAGTAATTTTTGTTTTTAATTATTATTAAATATCGTATATATCCCAAACATAAATTATTAAATAAAAAGAGGGATAATCATTATAAATGTATAAAGTTAAAGCTATCAAATTGTGAGAGGATTACTCTGGAATTGAGGAACTGTTCTCACTTGTGGCGTTCGGACGGGTTTGCTCGAGCGCCAGATTATTTTAATCTTTTGAAGTCGTATCAAAAGAATACTCAGGTAGCTACAGTGAAAAAATAAAATTTCCAGGTAACGTAAGTGTACGCAACGGGCTTTAATTGTTACTTATACGATGTTCACTACTTTAGGTTCTGAAAGGTATATAAAAAAATAGGTAGGTAGGAAGCCTGTAACACTTGACAGGTGTATATTATGTTTTCTTACAAAAACTAAACAATACTTGTTCTAATATTTTGTAAGTCCCATCCTGTATTACGGAATCCCTGAACAAAATAATATCACAAGAAACGGTTGAAGTTGGAACTCTCAATCAGACGGTTAAGGGTACTTTAAGACGTTAAATGTTTAAAATGTTTAAAAATGTTAGATTATAAGAGCACAAGGGTAAATAATAACATGATTCGTTACGAGACACACGGTATACGTCCAAAAATTACTTGGCTGTATGGAAAAACAAACATCGATATTTTCTTTTGCGATTTTTTTACAACCTCGATAGACTGTATTCGATGTATCATTTGATGTCAACAACGATATTTTAAAAAATTTGCGCATCCCTAATTATAAGTTTACATCCACAATTTTTGTAGATAAGCACTGATGATGGCAACATGCCGAAAGCGCTGTGCATTTAATAATCAAAAATTTTGCACGAAATACAAGTCTTTCCTTTTCAATTATTATTATTATTATTATTATTATTATTATTTACGCTTGGAGATCAACATGACCAACACAATAAATAGTAATAGTTTTTATTCATAAATAATACAATTAAATTAAATACAATATAATAATTGTTATGAATAAAGAAAATTAACTCTTAACTCGTGGCAACGCTATTTGTACAATTAAGGTGACAGATATTTAAAAACACAGCTTGTTAAAATATCTGCAACCCACAATGCCAAATTATTTATTTAAAAATAGTTTTTATATTCTCAAAAATTAACTTAAACAATCTTTCCTTACATTGCTATGTACACATTTACAAGTTTTACAAATTTTACAAATTATGAGGTTAAAAGGAAGAAACAAAGTAACAACTAAAAGAAGTTATCCAGATGATGACTCTATTAAGGTAAGCTTTATTTATTTATGAAACACATCTTGGTAATTCCCCCTCTTATATGTGAACTTGTTGAAGGTCAATGTAACATACAAGTAGTTTTTTTTTCTTAACTAACGATGTTATCTACTACATACTCCTTATTTTTGCCGTTCTTTAGTGCAGGGCTTTTTCTTTTCCATTAAGAATAAAACAAGGTTTACTTAGTTACCTGCCAGACGTTGTCGAGAATGCTAAATTAAAAGCTTCAGTCGCCTTGAGTACACACCCCTAAATTCGTGCGTTCGCTTTTATCGGATCGGAAACTAGGAAATAGTCTGCAATTCCTTCGTTGTGCTAAGACGGGTAATAATTAAATTGGGAGAGGAATTTTGAAATTAGAGGAGATGAGGCCGAAGCGTTTCGGCGAAAGTGCCGTTCAGTAAAGGTACAAGATTAGCCTCATTATCAAGAAATTATTTGGTTATACTGATTGGTCGGATTAAATGTTGGGACTTCGGGGCATTGGCTGGAACCGTCACGTACGTTAAAAGAATATACAGGATGATCCATTTGTCGGTAAAATCTGTAAAAACATCATAATAATAGGGGAACAAAACTGTTTCTTTGTTATGTATTTTTAGCACAAACTAGTTTATCTAACACTAAGTGATCTCAATGTAGACGATATCATGAATATGGACATACTCAAAACTATATCAAAAGGGAACTCTACTGCTGAATTTTATTAGATAAAATATTCGAAGACGAATAAATAACTTTAAAAAATAGCCTAAAAAAAATGTTGACAAGGGTGTTTAAGTCCTTGAACTGTATTAAACAAATTTTACGAATTATTTCCAGGTGTGGGACAAAGTAAGTAATTTTCTGTATGTTTCAAAAAATAAATATACTAACAAATATATGAATTGACAAAAACATTCGGTGGATGTTTTTACACTTTCAAATAATGATTTGATATCATAAGCTTTCAAATAAATACAAATATTGCTGCTACCTAAAACGAAAGTTGAAGTAGACAAGGGTTCACAAATTTACAGTTATGAATTCGAAGACATTTTATACATGCTGTAGATGCCACCACGACGTATATTCTTCGTTTCACTCATGACTTATCTATAAAAGAAGATTAGACACAAATATACAATGTCCTGAATGTCTCAGAAATGTCACCTTACTTACAGCATCCTAAGCAAGGTTGTCAGATAAAAAATTAAAATTTCACGCGTTTTTTAAAGTGTCATTGATTATCATTAATTAATGTAAACTATAAACTTTTAAACGGTTTTGTAATATTTTATGTTTAGCAAATTTTAATTATGCGTAATTTGTATGTAACGCCTATGGTAACTAAAATATGTATGTACATTTTCATTTGACTTAAAGTCCAATGTCACATAACATCAGAAAACCTAGGAGCACCGGCAACTTTGCATAATGAAACAACTTTTGCCTTCGGAACTGGGCGAGTGGAATCGAATTGCTATGAGGGACCTTTAAATGGGTATGGCCATTTATCTCTCTCTTAATTTTGATATTATTTTTCAACTTTCGCATCTGAGTAATCCGTGGTATCGCACTAATCGCGACCATCTTCTGTAGCTGCTACAATTCGTGTCAAAACAGGATTTATGGCTATTTTAAGACACAATAACACGAATTAATCAAATAATTTGCAGTAGATAGATAAAACCTCGAAAACAGAAAATATACTGATAATGCATTTCAGGAATTTGGGCAGAGTCCTTTTTTGTCAAACTCCTATCTAAACCAAAAAAACTTTTTTTTATAGGAGCTCCTAGTGAAAAGGTATCATCATATTTAAAAAACCAAAATATTAACGTAGCTTTCAAAACCAATCATACGCTTGGGAAGTATATTAAAAACAATAAGGATAAAATTAATCCTTTTTATAAATCGGGGATATATAAATTAAATTGTGGTAGTTGTCCAAATTGAATATTGGTCAAACAGGCCGTACTTTCAAAAAGCGCTATTTCGAACATTATAATAGCAATACAAAAAAAAACAAAAATAAATCTACTTACTAAAATCATATTTGGGCTGAAAATCAGTCTTTTACAGACTTTGAAATTTTACATATAGAAAATAAGGGCATTAAACTAAACGATTTAGAATCACTCGAAATAAATAGATTTAAAAATTCAGATAACCTACTAAATTATCAATTAGATATTAATAACTCACCTTTATTAAATCTCTTTCCTAGTTTTCTGTGAGATAATCCCGGTAATGATACTATCTTATTGTTATCTGATTGATATCATAATTACTTAAGTACCATTATTTACTTTAAATAGTAAGTTTATTTTGTTATGTTATTGATGTATTTTCTTAATTGGTTAAATTACTTGGCATATATATTTTACACCGAATTGTAAATTATACACATTTGAAAAAGAAGTTGTACTTCGAAACAAGTCATATGTATTGTTTTTAATTTTTTTAATTTTTATTTTTTAAAATAACAGTTTTGTGAAAATCTACCAAATTTGGTTTTACCCATTTAAGATTTTTTCATGATAAGGAGAAAGGACTATAAGAGTACAACCCACCTCTATAAGTCGGAGAAGAGTTCGACCTGGAATGACTTCGGGTGCTAAATCAGTACAAACTGGAAGACCAACAAATTCCTCAACTATTAAAAGGTAGCCTAACTATCTGAGATCCCTGTCCAAAAATGTTACAATTAGTAGACCCAATGCTAAGTCTCATTGAGTACCTACTCGTCCACACCAATAAATATTTACTTATTCAATCTGATGATGCGGGCTGTTTAAATTCACAGATTTTGTTTAAGCCACCTGTGCTGTAGAACTACCATAAAATTTTAATTTATTACTCCGTGTTGATTACGAAAAAAAAATCGAGAAAATCAAAAATTTTCTAAAATAAATGCAAATTTTGGAATGGACATAATTTTATGCTCAGCAGTGTATTTTGAAACCTCCAGATTTTTTCCCAATTTACCTAAATTTTTTCAATTAAAGCAATACATTGCAATAAAAAAGTTCTCACCCTGTACAAATCACTTGTGAATAAAGTAATAAGTATTTAAATAAAATAAAATTAAATATTAATAAATTAAATAAATAATTTTAATTTATTTACATATTTGTTGTCTAAAAATTCTGAAGCCGCTCCTGTCCATACATGGGGATTTCCTTTTGATGCAATAGTATCTCTCGAAGTAGAAAACGCGCATAATTTCGTTAAAAAAAAGTAAATAACTGCTACATAATATTATTGATATCGAAAGAAACATGCCTCCGAATATATTCAAGATGAGATTATACTAAAGTCAGAAATCTCGTAAAGTGGTCAGTGTCATATCCAACGAGAGACTCAAAACAAGTTTGGGGTCACGAATTATCAAGAATAATTAATTAACATTAGTTTAGTATTCATTATTATCGTACAAAATGTTGCTGTTTTTAATTATAGGTGAGTACTTACTGATTTAATAATTTCCAACCTCAAAAAAGTGAACAAAACTCAACAATTTTTAATTGATTTATAATTGCTAGATCTATTATAGGCATTATATTAATCCTTTTACTGCTTGTTGCTTGAAAATATTTACGTACCTAGTCAAATCAAGGTTATAAAATAAACATCAACCTGTTTTTATTTTAACACAATTTGTTACGGTTGATTTAAAAGAATACTTTAGTGATAAATAATGTTTATTTGAAAATTAATAATTTTAATGTTTTGGTCAAAAATTTTATAAACAAAATAAATAATATGAATATATGTATAACATTTACTATTAAGTTCAGTGGTGTATTAAGGTTTACTTAAAGTATTAATAAGATTAGGGGACATTCGGGCAACTGTTAGCAAATTTAAAATTTGTTTTGAAACGAGAACAACTTTTGTAAAGGGAAATCGCCGAGAGGCTTAGTAAATAGTTCAAAGTATGCCCTACATTATAGCCTATATTAAACAAAATTAATATCCTACAATATTTTTTTAAAAATTTCCATACTGCGCACAGTTCACGTACATGTATGGCATAGACGCATATAGCAGGGGAATTGGCGCGTCACCGGGTGAATGTGCGCTTTACACCTTGAATATTTTTTCTTGTATATTAAAAAAACACACAGATATTAATGTGCAAAACTAATGCCTTAATTCTGAAACAGTTACATATACAAATATGCTTAAAAAATAATTGAAAAGAAAAAATCAAAAGTATTCTAATCATAATTGTCACAAATGTAATTTTCTTGTGATTCATATCTACTGCAAAGAACGTGAGCCCAATTCGAACATATAGTGCACCTATACCAGGTTTCAGAATTCAGGGGCAACTCTCCACATATTAAATACTGATTTTCATCAACATCTTTATACTACTACATACTGTCACTGTCAATAGATTCAACCTTGCTATCACTCTCTTCAAACATTTGACTTTTTACGTTTTTTCTTTTCTTGGATTTTGTTTTGTTTTTGATCTTTTTAATATTACTCCGGCGATCAAGTTCTCTTTGACGTTCTGTTTTTCTTTCTGCCTCTTCTAACTCGTCCTGGTTTGGTGTTGCTGTCAGTATAATACTTTTCTGTTTATTTTTTTTTTTATACTTACTAGTGCTGCTAGTACTGGGAATTGGAGATAAAGTCTACGCTGTTATTACATGTTTAATTTCTAATCGTTTGGCAATAGTTTTTGAAGGTGAAATTCTACCTGACCCTAATTTAGATGCCCTCTCAGAACTGCTACTTGCCAACGATTCAGTAACTAGATTCTGCATTTTACTTGGTGTTCGATACAATGTTGCCTCCAATATTTTGCTTGTCGATGGTTGACTTTCTGAATTCAAAATCACAAACGCATCATTTGGCTTGGAAGAAATATTTTTATTTTTGTTGTCAGGTAATATATTTTCATCATTAACAGGTCGAAATTGGGATGCTGGTGCAAAGTCTTCCAAAGTAAATTTGTCTGGCTGGAAGGGGTATATACCTGCAGACCTAAACCCAAATATATATAGTCTATACTGTTTGAATATTATATTGAACTTATTTATTATAATGTTAGCAGTTAAAAGAATTAACTTCAAAATAATTGTTCTTAAATGATTTATCACCCTGTATACTATAACACCATGTATAGCCACTTCATAAAATACGTGTTAACATGGTTTAATAACGTTTTATTAAATATCTCGTAAACAATGTTTGAAATGTAATTAATTAAGGAACAAAATAAAGAATGTATTTAAAGGGCGTAAGGCCTATCACTTCCTCGCGTTCAGTTGGTCGAACCTCAAGTCCCCGCTCTCGGCGCTCTCTCCTGGTCCTGAACACTGAAACGGGTAGACGTGGTATTGTCGACCCCAGTGGCGGCGATATCCTAATTCGCTGACTCTAAGACGGCCAGACTGACGGGTGTTTGGTTCTCGAAACATGTATCCATTTCCACTGTGGTGTGTTTATTTTCTGTGGAAAAAGATAAAACGTGACCCACATGCCAAGGTCCAATATATACTTTTATGACCCCAAGCTTCAAGATATTGTAATCTTGAAAAACAAATCATAAATAAAATATTTCATGGGAGTATGCTGACCCTATGCTTTAATTTTTAATCCTAAAAAAACAATTCATGGGAATACCCCATCTTTCAATTTGTAATTTTAAAAAATAATTCATAAATAAAATAATCCATGCGGGAGTATGCTGACCCCATTCTTGAATTTGTAATCCTAAAAACAATTCATAAATATTTCATGGGAGTATGCTGACTCCATCTTTCAATTTGTAATCCTAAAAAAACAATTCATAAAAATTTCATGGGAGTATGCTGAGCCCATCTTTCAAGGCATATTATTCGCCCTTGAAACAAAATATAACAATAAACATGGGAGTATGCTGACCCCATCTTTCAAGGCATATTATTCGCCCTTGAGACAAAACATGGAAGTATGCTGACCCCATCTTTCAAGGCATATTATTCGCCCTTGAGACAAAACATGGGAGTATGCTGACCCCATCTTTCAAGGCATATTATTCGCCCTTGAGACAAAACATGGGAGTATGCTGACCCCATCTTTCAAGGCATATTATTCGCCCTTGAGACAAAACATGGGCGTATGCTGACCCCATCTTTCAAGGCATATTATTCGCCCTTGAGACAAAACATGGGAGTATGCTGATCCCATCTTTCAAGGCATATTATTCGCCCTCGAGACAAAACATGGGAGTATGCTGACCCCATCTTTCAAGGCATATTATTCGACCTCGAGACAAAACATGGGAGTATGCTGACCGCATCTTTCAAGGCATATTATTCGGCCTTGTCGGTATCTGACCAAAATAAAAGCAAATCAACTTGTTCTTGAGTTTTTCTGCTGTTTTTGAAACTGTGCAACATCTCTGCGAATAAATCATCCTTGATACACTTTTAGACACTTCGTTTTAAATGTGAAAACTTGAACAGGATCCACACTTCTGATGTTAGAAGTTAAAAGAATTTACTTCAAAATTATTGTTTTTAAATGATTTATCACCCTGTATACTATAACACCCTGTATATCCACTTCATAAAACACGTGTTAACATGGTTTAATAACGTTTTATTAAATATCTCGTAAACAATGTTTGAAATGTAATTAATTAAGGAACAAAATAAAGAATGTCTTTAAAGGGCGTAAGGCCTATCACTTCCTCGCGTTCGGCTGGTCGAACCTCAAGTCCCCGCTCTCGGCGCTCTCTCCTGGTCCTGAACACTGAAACGGGTAGACGTGGTATTGTCGACCCCAGTGGCGGCGATATCCTAATTCGCTGACTCTAACAGACACTACAACGGGCAGACGTGATATTGTCGACCCAGTGGCGGCGATATCCTAATTCGCTGACTCTAACAATAAATTACTTTGATTTTAGTTGGCTGTTTAAAGAGTTGTTTTATAACGTTCAATTATTGCATAATAAACATTTAATTGTTACATATAATAAATGTTTCATTATTTCATATTATAGATCACGTTTATTTCTTGTTTAAAAATATACGTGTAATTAATACGTAATAAAAGATTATTTATTTTTTTATTTTGAAAATTTATAAATGATAGAAGCAAGCTTATGGTCCCCCTTCTCACATGCTTTATGGCAATTTCAAAAGTAACGACATTCAAAAAAGAGATATTTTTGCGTACTACTTCGCTACAGTCTACTCCGATATCAAAGTAAATCAAGTACCTATAAATAACTGTAAATCTACTGTAGATGTATGTAAATTAAGTATAGATATTGAAGATATTTTTGACCATCTCGTAAGTCTAACTTGGAAGCTGTCATCAGGACCTGACGATATTCCGGCCTATTTTTTTGAAAAAGTGTACTTTTACTCTGGCAAAACCACTACTGGTCCCGAATACTGGCAACACAGTTTTTTAATACCAATTCATGAATTAGGCTCCAAAGAAAACATTGAAAATTATTGAACAATGTGCATTCAATCAGAAGTACCTGAATTGTTAGATTGCTTAGTGGAAAAATGTTTGAAAGCTGATTGTGCTAATTTAATAATAAGTCAGAAACATGGTTTTTGTCAGGGTAAATCTACTTGCACTAATCTGGCGCTTTTTAATCATTTTATTACAAATAATGCTCTTGAAGCAAAACATCAAGTTGACTTTACATATGTTGATTTTTTAAAAGCATTTGACAGGGTTAGTAACGAAATTTTAATCTCTAAATTAGATCAGCGGACATTCACTTAACAGGACCTCTAGTTATTTGTCAAACAGAACCCAATTAGTTAAATATGGCAGCTGCACATCTCAATTAATAAGTGTATTGTCAGGAGAACCACAAGGGTCTCACTTAGGCCTCTTATTATTTAATTTATTTAATAATGATTTCAGTAGTTCCATTAAAAATAGTAAACAACTGAAGTTTGCCGATGATGTAATTTTTTTAAATCTATAAAAAATATATCTGACTATCAATTGCTGCAAGAAGATTTAAACTGTTTGTCTCGCTGGTGTGATGTGAATGTTTTATATTTAAATGCAACTAAATGTTACAAAATTAATTTTAGTAAATCAAATATTATACATCAGTACTCATATATGATTAATAATAAGTCACTTCAAGAGGTAGAAGATATCAGGTTTTTAAAATGTTAGATTTCTTACAAAGAATTACTACTTAGTTGTCATTGCCTCTTTTAAAATCCTCTACTTTGCACTCGTTCATTCAGTTCTGGAGTACTGTAGTCCAATTTGATCTCCTAACTATAATATTTATATTCAACAGATAGACAATGTACAAAATAAGTTTCTATGAATTTGTGCATATAAAATGGGCTTAAGAAGATAAGAATATACATATATAATGATATTCTTCACTCCTTGAACATGAATACTCTCGAACATAGGAGAATAGAATCAGATCTTATATTTCTATTCAAAATAATATGAAGAAGCCCGCAAAAGTCATGGTTTGGGAAACTCTTTGAAAGATATCCTTGGAGTCCCGGAACAGTACCCAAGACTGATAAACTTTCTGCAGCATACCAACCTGTATAATTTAATTTAATTTTTAGGAAGTTGATATTATGTATATACTAAATTCTAGTTTATTATATTTAATTGTATCGTGTCAATAACCATAGCTGTTGAGACACGTTAATTGTTAAATAAAAAAAAAATTTAGCACTGTGTGATGACTTATTACAATTGAGTGCAAATGTTAGACGTACAAGACATACGGATCTTTTTTATATACCTTTCCATCACACGAATTATGGACTGAATGAGACGGTAACTAGGATTTTAAAACTATGAAATAAATTCAATAAAGATTTAGAGTTGTTTAATGTCACTTTAGGTAGCTTTAAAAATAGTATGAAGTATATCACTATGTAATTTCAATTTTATGTTAGTATTAAGATTATAAATGTATATTTAATATTGTAAAAAGGGTTTCGACCCGTAAATAAATAAATAAATAAATTATTTGATTGGTTTATAAACGTTTACTGAATCACTTAAAAAAACGGGAAAATAAATCAACCGATATTTCTTCTTTTTCATGTTAGAAACTGTCTAAAATACATTAAATTTAAACGCAATTTGTGATTGCAAATAACGTTATTTTCTGCGACATTTGAACTATTTATTATACGTTTGGTTATCAACCAGTTTTCGACGTTTTTTGTACGTACGTGACCTTCTCGTGCATCACATAGTGAAGGTGTATTTGTATTACTAGCATTTGATTATATTTTCTAGTCAGTAGAGACCTACATATTTATGATTTAATAAATAATTCTAAATTTATGTTTTTGTCTTAGGACTATGCCTGACACATGTAGCTCAAACCGATCCTGCAACAAAATATATGCCATTAGATACGGATGTTTATTATCCAAGCATAAACTGGTCAAGTACATTTGACTGGAAATTACTAAAAGTAAGTAGTTTATAAATATTTTCAATAAAAGTGAATTATATTTGATTATGATTAATAGGTTAATAATTAGAACTATTAAGATACTTAAAATAACATGTTTTAAATTGGTCTAATCGGATTATCAAAATTAATTAGTGCCTGAGTATTTATTTAAATCTATAAAGTTAAGTGAATCTATATTTTACTTAAAAATTCGCATTTTATTTAGAATTACAATTAACTTCCGTTTTGAGATCAAAACCCAGCCCTGGAAATATAAATAAGAACGTTAAGAATTTCAACAGCGACCAGGTACCTGTCTTTAAGAAATAATTACCCACTTTGGAACTAGCCTTAATTAACGAGTCTTTGAGCTTTTTAGAAATATATTTTCAGTTCAGAATTGGATCGATACGGTCTTTTCTCTTTTTTTGCTGTTCGTTAAGTTTAATCGAATATTTATTAACAAAGCTTAATGCTTTGCTAAGAGGGTGTTTATTTGGCTAATGTTTATTCAGAAAATGGGTGGAAACTCAAAAGATTTACGTTGAAGTTGAATAAGCGCAAAAATAAGTAGGTAGATTGGGATAATATAATTGAATTGTCGAGTCATGAGTAAAAGTTGACACCTTAAACCGCATCTATTGTCAATAACTGATAATATAATTACAGCTAGTGATAAGAATCTCCTTTGACTAAATTAGTCATCAGCTGAATAATATGAGTCTTGATTTCATTGGATTTAAGATACATCTTTGAATTTTGTGTGTAAATAATATATTCCAGAGAGTTAAATTATAGAATTGTTAGTTTAAAAAAAAAAAACTATCACAAGTGATGTTCCACAAGGTTCTATTCTACAGCCTCTGTTCTTCCATATTCATATTTATTCATTTCAATATTGCCTTCAATATTCCTGCGCACATTCTTATGCTAATCTAATCTAACACATTGAACTTGCCTTACAAATTACTATTACCACTGGCGTCCACACGTTGCACTTTAACCAACTATGTTTTTTTAAGTTTTCGGGAAAATAATGTTTCTGTGCAGTATCTGTTTTTATCTGTCTAAGTTCTTGAAGATGCCGAGAAGTCCCTATCAATAGCCTTAGCAAAATTATCTATTAGGGCATCATCAACGAACTAGGTACCAGGGTCACTTTGCAGACGACATAAGGATCGTAGTAAACGGTAAATTTGGGTCCGTTATATATAAATATCGTCGAAAGATGGTGCCTAAAAGAGGGATTGGCCAAAAACCCGACAAAAACCTCTGTTGTTGCATTCACAAGAAAAAGGATCCTTCAAAGAATGAAGGAGCTTTATATGTGGGGACAACATTTAAAAATGGAAAAAGAAGTTAAATATCTTGGAATCACTCTTGATGACAAGCTTAGCTTCGGCAGCCATATAAAAAAAACAACAGAAAAAGCTGTAAGAATACTTATGGGCCAGTAGACGGATGGTAGGAAACGTATGGGGGCTTAAACCAAGTATGATGCACTGGATTTACACTATGGTTGTAGTACCCGTTATAACTTACTCATCAGTCATATGGTGGCACAAGACTAAAAGCATAACAGCTAACAGAAAATCAGACAAGGTGCAAAGATTAGCCTGTCTAATAATAACAGGGGCATTTAGAACTACGCCCACAGCAACAATAGAGCTACTTCTAGGTCTTCCTCCAATACACCTTGTGGTGGAGAAGGAGGCTATGGCGGCTCCACCTACGGAAATTCGTGCATCAAAAATGGCGCGCTATTTAAATCAGTCAGTTATATACTGGCCGCTCAGTAGTTCCAATGTATTGTATGCATTTATCAGCTAAACCCTACATATAAATTATTATTCTTTTCAGGAATATGCACCTTTCAACCCAAACCTATTAATATCCCCGATTAGTTTAAAATTAATTTTATCCCTGCTCTATCAAGGATCAGCAGGAATAACTAAGAGAGAATTCGAAACTGTTCTTGAATTCGAAAACCAACTGAGCGAGAGAGAAGAAGTTAGGGATGTACTCACGAAATTACAGGTAATTAATTTTGTATTACTAGAAAAATATAACCTTTAAACAAAATAACTATAACTACCACGAGCTCTGAATATTTTATCCAATAAATTTTGTGGGGTTTCATTGGATTGGCTTGAGGTTTTAATAAACGTAGATGTTGTACAGGCTGGGAAAATGTCGATTTTTTAATAGAGAATCTCGTTAAGTATAAATGGTATGAAAAAATAGACCTCCCATCCTCGATCTCTTATTTTGAGAAAAACTTAATGGCATTATCAAAAATTAGCTATTGTTTTTGTTTTCGAATTATAAACAAAAGATGTGTGCCTGGTTTTGGTATCCTTACAAACTGGACAGTTTTTCATTGGTACGGAAAGTTATCAATTCTAAGTGTAGCATTATAGATTTGTGTTATAATCAATATACTTATTAGTTATATCTTAAAGAACTTTACCTGTTATGAGGTTACTTACAGAAAAATTAATTACACTTAAAATTAAAAGAACCTAGAACTTTCCTTTTTTTATTAGATCATTTTTTTCAGATCATGGAATCTCCGGATTATTTTCTAAATTTAGGAACTAGAGTATTTTTAGATAGTGGCATAGTACCTCAACAGAAATTCGCCAGCATCGCCAAAGATTATTATAGGAGTGATATTGCTTTAACAAATTTTTGTAATACCGAAGAAGCTGGATACAGTATTAATTCGTGGGCTGAAAAACTGACGAATGGAAGGATTAGCAAGCTTGTAAATCCAGGTAGATACAATTATGATATAGAGTAAACCCGTCCAAGAGTAGAGAAGACTGGGGATTAATGAACCATTTTTCACAAATCTATTTTTATTTCAAAAATGAAGTTAAATGATTGTAAGATTTTGATATTTGAATGTGTTTTGGGATGTCTTACATCTAAATTTAGGTTAAACATGGATTTAAAACACAGATTTTTTGCTTAGCATGTTTTGAAAAAAAAAGTGACATATAGTTATATATACCCTAACAGTGGGGTAGATTAAACCGCTATATAGGGATGATTCAACCAAAGGAAAGATGATTTTAAATAAGTGTAGTATTTACTTGTAGCATGTTGATATTACTCTTGCTGGCACATCCTCATAGCTGTATGCCTTAAATCCAGATTGGTTTTAGGATTTGGATTTTCTTTCTAGGAGCAAATACATTTTTTTAAATTTAAGTTCGTTTTTTACGCTTTTTATGTAAGTCTTACATCTAAGTTCATCCCTAGGTATTTGGCTAAATTTTGGTGCGGAATAACGTCATTAATTATTCTTATTTGTTTTTGTTCATTTGGTCGAAGAGTAAAATCAACATGCATTGATTTAGTTGGATTTATTATTATTTTGCACTTTTTTGTCCATCGATTGATTCTGTTGCAGGTTTCCTAAAGTTTTTCTGAGGTCTCTGTATTAGTTCCGCCAACTACCAATATTGCAGTGTCATTCGCAAATGTTGCTTTTTTAACACATTGTTGTTGAGGGATATCGCTGGTGTATAATAAGAAAAGAACCGGTCCTAGCACGCTGCCTTGTGGGGCAACTGCTTTAATTTCTTTTATTTCGAAGTATGTCTCGTCTTGCTGTACTCTAAACATTCTTCCCGTTAGATATGATTGTAAAATGTCGATATATTGTCTAGGGAGTATTTTTTCAAGTTTCTGTATCAGGCCAGCGTGCCAAACCTTGTTAAATGCTTGGGCTACGTCAAGACATATAGCTGAGCATATATATTTTTCTTCGTCAGCTTTTTCGATGATATCGGCTATCCTGTGTACTTGATCTATTTTCGATTGTTTGTTTCTAAAACCAAAAATTAGTGCGAAGGGATCAGATTTTTTTTTAACCTAGATGTTATCGGTAACAATGATATAGGTCTATATGATGACACTTCACCCTCAAATGGCGTCAGCCGGTTTTGGTGCACTACCTTTTTTTGCCGTTCAGGATCTTACTTATGCAGTAAATGACATCATTGATTCTTTTTTTGATGAGATACGGACCTTTCCAATACCTTTGAAGCTTCGGAGAATAACCTTTTTGTCTTTTTGTATTATGGAGCCAGACTTTGTCGCCTTTCTTGAAACATCCTTCTGTGGCATGGGTATCGAATCGCTTCTTCATTCTGTCGCTGACGATTTGAAGATGCAAGCGGACCAATTCATGCATATCATCCATTCTTCTTCGTAACTGCATCACATAATCTTCACCAGCTACATCTTCTCCAGGTCGGCATCTAAACTCGAGGTCGCACGGTAGTCTCATCTCACGCCTAAACAGGACCTTTGCTGGTATTTAGCCTGTTGATTCATTGACAGCGGATCGATAAGCCATTGCAAAGTGCGAAAGATAGTGATCCCAATCTCGCTGATGGTTTGTAACTACTTTTGACAGATATTTGCCAATGGTCTTATTCATTCGTTCTGCTGTTCCATCGGATTGTGGGTGAAATGCTGTAGTTCTGGTTTCCTAAATGCCTAGTCTGTCACAGACTCCACGAAAGAGTTGACTTTCAAAATTCTGCCTTGGTCACTGTAGATCTCCAAGGGCACTTCAAATTGACAAATAAACTCTTTTATCAACACATCTGTAATAGATGCGGCCTCTTAATTTGGAATGGTGTAGACTTCCACCCACTTCGTGAAATAATCCATAACCACCATCATGTATTTATTACCATTCTCGGTCATGGGAAATGTTCCAGCAATATCTAAAGCGTTTCTCTCAAATGGGCTACCAACGTTGTATTGGTTCATTGGAGCTGTTCTTTTCCGCTGAGGTCCATTAGTCCATTACTTATAGCAGAGCTGGTACATTTCTTACACCAGTCCTTTACATCATCGGAACTATTCATCCAATCAAACCTTACACGAACTCTCTAAAGGGTTTTCTTAGCAACAAGATGTCCTCCTAAAGGACTGTCGTGTAACTGATGAAGTACTTCGAATACTCTACTCCTTGGAATGACCAACTGTCTTCTGTTCTCGGAACCATCATCATTTTTAAGTACTCTCTTTAATAAGCCGTCTTCCAGGATAAAGGAGTCCCACTGAGCCCAATATGATTTAAGTACTAAAGAGAGTTTCGATATTTCTTGCCAAGTAGGTCGACGATATTTCTCTTTCCATTCTCCTATCTTCTTTAAAACGGGATCGTTCTCTTGTTCTTTCCTAAGTTTGACAGGGGCCCACTCATCGCTAACAACCGACGTTTTTCCTAATGTAACTTCTTTAGCAGATGTGGCCAACCCCTTTCCAATCAGAGTACCTTGACCAACACCTTCATTGCGTTTCGAAGGTTCCGTCATGACAGGCTTTGCTTTCTCTACAGTTCCTTGCAACCGCCTTACTCTTATGATTTCACTACTTTCAGGCAAAACAGTTCCTTCCTATACTGCCACCGGTACAGTTTTTCGATTCGTAGTGTTCTTTGGGCGTTTGCATGAACTGCTTACATTTACATTTCACCGCAATTCCAGCACCTAATAGTCTTCGGTTGCTTCTCAATAAGGGTTTTTATCACGTGAAACAATTGGTCCAATTTATTTCCCTGTTTTTCTTCTTTTATAGTCCTTACTTTACTGTACCTTCCAGAAGCCTGCGTAGCTCCCTCATACTCTAAAGCAGCAGGCAGGACATTGACCAATGTTTTATGGCGGGCTAAGCGAAGTGTTTTCTGCATCTTGTGGTCACGGAGTCCATCAACAAATGTTTGGACTGCTAAACATTCCATCATGTTTTCCGGAGTTGATGGGTAAGCAAATCGCACCAACCTGGCAATATTTACTTTGTATTCTTGAAGAGTCTCGTCTCGTTTCTGTTTGCGATTTCTTCCCTGTCATTTTTTAGTCATGATTGTCCACTACTTATTTATAGTTCCACTTCTAACACCAATGTGACGATAGTCTATTTTATTTAGAGTTTATTTATTTAAAACACACTATTTACAAATTATTTATGACGTATTAATTAATTTATATAATACTTTTTACTAAACTAAGCTGTTCGCCTAAGTCCAACTCTGCTACGAGTAAGTCTCTAGATGCTCCCGAAAATTCCATCTCTGACTCAACGGTTCGCTACGCCCGTTCTAGCCTTTTCTCAAGTATCAGCGGCATTCCTAAAAGATTCCGTCGTTTGGAGCATGAGTCGGGTGGCAAGCTGAAGGTCGTTAGACAGAGACGGCTTAGGAATTTTCATGACATATTGTAAAATTTTGATGCCAGGCACTTGTGAATAGGTGCATTTGGTTTATGTTTTTTACTAGAATTTTATTTATTTTATTTTCAATTTGATGAAAGGTAGAGTTCTGAAGACATATTTATTTTTAACTGAAATTTTAGGAAGTAGTTACTATAAGTAAAGGCAACTGTCAGTTTGTATTTAAAGTAAAAAAAAAAATTTTTTTTTTTATTTTTTAAAATTGTTGATGAGAGGTAGAGCTCTGAAGACATTTTTTTTTTATTGAAATTTCAGAAAATAGCTCTTAGGTATTATATAGTAAAAAATAATATTATTTTTTTTCGTTTTAACCTAATCTGCATAATATTATTTATAATCGTTTTTAATCTAACGAATTATTTTGTTTAAATAATGGGAAAACTAAAATACGTCCCTCGAATTCTAACAAATAAAAGTATTTATCGATTCATCTTGTAAAATGTTGTTTCAGCCGACCTTGAGGATGCCATAATGGTGATAGCGAACGCGGTGTACTTCAAAGGATCGTGGAGGTATCCGTTTTCCAACAAAACCGTTCAAGATAAATTCTACGTCCCGAACGGCGACAATTTCTTTGCTATTACAGCCAGTTTTATGTCTACTGAAGACAAATTTTATATCCACGATTCGCCCAAGTTAGACGCTAAAATATTGAGGCTGCCTTACAAAGTAAATATTTGAGAAATTGTTTTTAAATCAGATTTGAAGGGTACGATATTGAGTTTAGAAGAGAAACTCAATTATTGAGTCAATAATGAACGCGCAAAATTAGAGAAATCATTGTTATTATTCTTAAATAAGTCTTTTTTTATGAATTTAAATACTTTTCACACTTTTTTAAATGAAAAAAGACAGTAGTAGAATTCTCATTTTATTTAAATCAGTTGTGTACAACCTTAGAAGATGTAACATAGTCAAATGCGCACCCTGTCCTTTTTCCCCTCAATTCCCACTGCCAAGTTACACCAATTAAAGTGAATAAGTGAAGTCTTCCCCCGCCACCACCCGTCCTCGACAACAAGTTGCTGACGGAGAACGTGTGTATCCAGTGTATCGCCATTTTTCTGCTTTTCGTGAAATTACTAAATATTGTTTACTGTGTTGTTAAGTGAGTTTATTTTGGACAAAAAATGCCAAGGTGTGTAATAAGGGACTGTTATTACCATGCAAGCGCAAATTATTTGAGAGACAAGAAGTCTGTTAACTTATTTAGGTAAGTTTTTAATATTTTATTTTGTTATGCGAAGTAGCCATGTTTATTTTGAGTGAAACTAGGAGAGGTGCGCCAGGTCTGGAGTCAGGACTGTAGATAATAAATTGTAATAACTGAAATTTCTGAAATTATTGTTTAAAATTATCAATTTAAAAGTTTATTCAAATGTTTCTTTGAACGCTGAAATAAAAATAATCTATTTTAGTTTCCCAGCAAATAAAGAAAGGCGAGAGACATGGTTCTTGGCTTGCAATATTAAGGAAGATGAAATACATAAAGATCCTCGTATTTGTCATTTGCATTTTACTAGTAATTCTTTGGACAGAGAAAAATCACCATTTAAAATCCATTTGAAGGGAAATGCTGTACCTACTGAGGTAGAAATAACAATTTTTAACATTACATAAAAATTATAACCACTTTATCGTTATTAGAGTCTTAAAACTGTATAATTTTTTCCAGAATTTACCAACCTTACAACATAAGGTGGCAAATGACAACAGTAATGTAGAAATATTACCATATCAAAATTCACCCGTACTTAAAAAACAGGTAAGTTATTTGGCTAAGAATGTGTAGGTACCTACCAATTTAAAAAAAAAAAAATTTTACAAAATCTCTACATTTAATGCATATAGAAAGCTCTCTGTTGTAAATTTAATTTTAGCATCTTTGAATTTGTATAGCATATAATACTTAACTTTTTCGGTTTCATATTTATAAAGAGACTAATATATTTTTATACAATACAACTTTTTTTTAGAAATCACTTTTAGAAGTGCAAAATTCTGGTGACTGTTCAAAAACTACACATTCTCATGAATATTATGCAACACCTTCAACCAGCACTGGGTTTTGTAAAGACGAGAATACTTACGTAGTATCAATACCACCAAAATCAGATTCAAGTTTAGGATTTTGTCGTTTAAAAACTCCACCAAGTTCACCAAAATCAAGAAATCAGCAAGTAAGTTTTTCTACTTAAATAAGCAAATTGTTTTTAAATTAAAAGTAAAAGTTAACTTCAATTAAGTACATATAACTGCAAATATGTAGTCAATCGCTTGATCAAATAAAAAAACTATACACGTGATCATTGTTAAAAGTTGTGTTTATATAATAATTGAAAAAATGGGATTTTAAAGATTTCTCCAGTGACAATTATATGCTCTAAAAATCGTCAGAAAATAATATTTTTCTACACCCACATGTACATTAGCTTACCTACATTTCTATTTTTGTTTCATCCACATTTTAAAATAAATTTAAAATTTTAATCAAACTATATGAAACTAATTTAATTACGAGTATTAGAACTAAAATCCTTAATCTAGTGGTGGATGTGAGGAACGGTGTCGGTCTTCCAAGCGTGAGACTTCGGTTCGAATCTCGACTGGGAATAATAAACTTAAATCTTTTTCAAAATTATTTTATTTTATAAATTAGTAAATGTCATGAATTTTAAAATTAGTTATTTTGTTTGAATACCCTAAAATAATTTTTAAATTTGTAGATTTTAGTTAGTGGGTCGAAGAAAAAATGTACTGTTCAACTTAAAGTGAATTTTTCATATCCACTCTTGTTACACAAACTACAATTTTTTAATTTACATAATATTATTCCCAAAAAAGGTCTTGTTATTGAATATCCAAATTTTGTGGAATTGTGGAGAATCTACATTGTAATATTTGTTACAGAATATTTCACCAAGAAAAAGAAAAATGAGGCGTCGACTGGAAAAAGCCAATAAAACTATAAAAAGGCTAAGAGTTAGTCTTCAACATTATAAGAAGAGAGTTGCAAGGTTACAAGAAATAATTAATAGTTTAAAAGGAAAAGTGTCTGATGAAAACTTAGAAATTTTAAGTCAAATTGGTCCGAATGAAGAATTTTTACGAAGGCAAATTAGTCATCAGGGCAAATATGGAGAGGATCTCAAAAAGTTTGCCCTTACTTTACATTTTTATTCTGCAAAAGCCTACAGTTTTGTTCGTGATACTTTTAATTCGGCACTTCCACACCCTAAATCAATTTCAAGGTGGTATCAGAACTTAAATGGAGAAGCAGGGTTTACTTCTGAGGTATTTCAGTTACTCAAAGTAAGAGGTGCAAATTCAAAGCATAGACTTGTGTGCTGTTTAACTGTAGACGAGATGGCCATTCGTCAGCAGGTACAGTGGGATGGAAAAAGGCACTACGGTTATGTTGATTTTGGAGTTGACATCCAAACTGATTGCAATTCAGTTGCCAAAGACGCATTTGTTTTTATGTTAGTTTGTATAAACGAATCGTGGAAATTGCCTGTAGGGTACTTTTTAACTGATAGTTTAACGGGCGTCCAAAAGAAAAATTTACTACTTCAGTGCTTAAGTTTGCTTCATGAAATAGACATTCAAGTAGTTTCAGTAACATTTGACGGGGCGGCTAATAATGTTACTATGGCAAAAGAACTGGGGTGTAATTTTGATATAAATAATTTAAAATCTACTTTCTTAGATCCTTCATCAGGCCGTGAAATCGCTATACTCTTTGATCCTTGCCATATGGTTAAATTGTTACGAAACACCTTAGGGGATAAATCAGTTTTAATTGATAATAACGGTGGAGCTATAAAATGGGAATATGTAGTAAAGCTTAACGAAATTCAACAACAGGAGGGTGTTCACTTAGCTAATAAATTGAGAAAAGCACACGTATTCTATAAAAATCAAAAAATGAAAGTCAGATTAGCAACACAACTTTTTAGTGATTCCGTAGCTCATGCTATTGAATTCTTGAATGAAACTTTAAAAATAGAGCAGTTTAAAAATTCCGAAGCTACTGTTAAATTTATCAGAACTGTAAATAAATTATTTGATGTATTTAATTCTAGAAATATATACCAAAAGGAATACAAACAACCAATAAATCAAAAGAATTATATATCTATTGAAAACTTTTTGATAGAGACTGCAGATTATTTTAAATCACTGACCTTAACAGATGGGATACTTTTGTGTGAGAGTAAAAGAAAAATGGGTATTATTGGTTTTTTATTTTGCATTCAAAGTTTAATACATTTATACAAAGAATTAGTTCAAACTCAATTAATAATATATATTCCCACCTACAAGCTGAGTCAAGATCATATAGAATTATTCTTTGGATTAATTAGATCAATGGGTGGCCACAACAACAATCCAACAGTGAGACAATTTAAAAGTGCATATAAAAAAATGATGCTACATCTTGAATTAAGGGATTCATTTTTGGGCAATTGTATTCCGTTAGAAATGATTTCAGTCATGAAACCCAGTGAAATAATAAATAAGTCATGTGGCAAGGGCAGGATAGTTGAGGATGAATGCGAAGAGACAGACAATCTGCCTGAAGTTGTATTTTCTGCAAATCTTTCAGAATATAAAAAAGAAGTAATAATTTATATATCTGGGTACGTAGTACGTAAAATAGCAGCCATTTTAAAATGTGAAAACTGCGTTGAGAGCCTTTGTGGGGAAAGAGCTGATTTTCTAATTTCATTCATTAATCAGAAAGATAAAGCAAATGTATTGACATACCCATCAGCTGATGTCATTTTAATTTGTACAATGGCAGAAAAAACGTTACGACACCACATCGATGGGGGTAAATGTATACATATTAATATTGTTAATAATCAAGTATTATACAGCCTTTTAAATAATAAAAAACTCTTTGAACATGACAAAGGCCATTTTTCCGAACAAAACTTTGTAACAAGTCATTTTACTAATTTAATTAAATTAATTGCTTCCACCTACATTAATATCAGAATCCACCATTATAATAAAACTTTATTGGATAAGAGTAACACTAAGAGAATACTTTATAATAAACTTACATTATTTTCTGGTTGCTAATAACTAATAGGTAATAAAAATTACTAACGCATTCTGACTATTATCGCTTTACGTATAAACTGTATATCTATTTTTTTTAAACTACGTGTTTGATTTTGTTTTTTATGTCACTAAGAATATTTTAGATATTTCAAAGGTTTAACATTTTTAAATCACTATATAAATGACTAAAATTGTAATAGTTTACGCAAATGACTAAAAAATTTAGACAGTTTTACTTCGAAAACAAAAAATATTCGATTTTTTTTTGATCATCTACTTCTATTAACTTTTAACATATTTAAAAACATACAATAAGTTAAATTTTCCCAAAATATCGAAAAATGTTGAATGAAAAACTTTGTTTATTTTAGTTTTCTACTCGCCTGCCAAATTTGAAAAGCTAGATATTTTTATTTTTTTGTGCGTTTGAAGGGGGATATCTTTTTATCATATATTTAACTGTTATACGTCATTGCCCTCTACTCCGTTACTCTAACCAATGCAATTTAAATAAGGAAAGTACCAAAAGTATGACACATCATTAAAAAGATAATTTTAAGGATAATTCAATAATATGACTATTCAATGTGTTACTTTTGGTTTAAGGGCCCGCTGGCAATATACAAAACTGTTACCTACTATAAAATTTGGCATTTCATTTGAAAACTAATTTTAATAATAATTTAATGCACAATATAACAAAATATAATTGAATAAAACAATAACTTAAATAATTGCACAAGATAAGAAATACAAACTTTATTGCAATCAACCAAAATAAAAAAATTACGATAGCCACTAAATTCCTAATAAAATTAGCTTTCAAATGAAGTGCCACACTTTACAATAGGTAACAGTTTCTATCCCGACAGAAGCTGCTAAAATCGAAAGTAAAGCAATAAATGGTCATATATTACTAAATTCTTCTTAAAATTACGGTTTCAGTGATATATCATACTTGGCACTTTCCCCATATAAATTGCATTAATTAGAGTAACGAAGTGGAGGGTAATGGTGTATGACAGTCAATGATATGATAAAAAGATGCCTTCCTTCAAACTAAAATCAACGTGTCCAAACGTTTTTTAAGATCCACGATATTAATATCCAAAAACCCAATGTCAAGTTTTCGTTGGGTCATCCTGTATATAAATTTTAGATCGAAAATAAATTTTGTTAGAATTAATAATTTACAAATAAATAAAATTATGTACCAATGTTCTTTTATTATTCCTATTAATTCAAAAAATCAATTACTGCACTTATTTATCCTGAGTACGTACCTGTTAAGTTCCCCCACTTACTAGTTCCGACTGAAAATAATTGGCAGCCTCGGCGCAGCTCTTTGCAATATGCATGTTACATCTTCGGTTTCTTTAATCTAAGTGTACAACAGAGTAGTACAATATTCGAAATGTTGTTAAATGTTGTTATTTGTGACTGCATACAATTTTACAATTATCTAACATGAATTTTAATTATTTAAATGCAGTAATTAACCTAATTTTATAATTTTTCATTTTTATTTCAATTTGATTTAAATTTAATTCTCTATTTTTAAAAGATGTAGTAACTATCATATCTTTTGTTTTATCAACATTTAGTTTTAATTTAATATATTTTTAAATATCTAGCAAAATTATTTAATGAATTATTTATTTCTTGATAAGCTACTACTATTACTTTATCACTGATACTAAACATGTGTATATTCTCATTCACTATGATAATTGAATCGTTTATTTTTGAAAGGTATTAACTAACATTTTGTTACTTTTGAGAAAATGAGTAAAAATTTATTTGTAGTTTAATAAAATGTGATAATGCTATTTTTTTAGAGTTGCTTAGATGTTTTTTATGTTAAAACAGCTATTTTTTTTTGATAATGACAGAAAAAATTATATTAGAAAAAAATGCAGTTAGTACCTTTCTCAAATAAATGAAAAATATTATTTTTTTAAAGGAATCAACTTGGCGTTATCGCTGAAATATTAAACAGTGAATTGTTTTTCTAAGAATTACCCCAATAAAAACAACATTAATGTTTACACATTAAAGACTTATTGAAAACTGTAACAAATTGTATTAAGCTTGTAATGAAATCGCTTTCTTTTTGAAAACTTTAGTAGGCCATTCCAAATCTATGATTTCTTCTCCGGAAACTTCCATGACAGTAAAATTTTTATGCGGACTTGAAGCTATTATTATTTCAGTGTATTCGTGAACAGAAAATGTACGATCAAATCGCTTTAAACGTCGTTTAATGACACCAAAGTCTTGGTCAGTAGGCAAGAAGGAATGCCCTCTGATGGGACAAAATTGTTCAACTTCTATAATTTTATTAGTTTCAACTAATGCTGCACATATGCATATAATGGTATGATTTTTGTTTTGCCCGGGACAATTATCTCTATAAAGGCATAATTCCTGGACATTTTCTGAATTTTCACGTTGAATATAGTCCCACAGGAACGAGCATACCTCGTTTGGTGCCTTATTAGCAACACCTTCATGGTAAATATAAAAGAATAACTTGCCAGTCTTACAGTTGTGTATACCAAAAATACTGACTGTTAGTTGTGTTAGATAAAGTAAATCCTGGACTGGAACTTCAGGTAAGTGAACATTCTGCATGTAGTCAAATGTTATTACGACCAGGCCATCACGAATCTTGCACTCATCAGTAGATTCCTTCAACGGCAAATAAAACTTTTTTGCTCTTCTTTTATGTACTGCAAGTTCGGCAGCACTGCTCTTTTAGCTGCCTAAGGACTTTTTATTTTGAGGTCCAGTTCTTCACACTTGCAACAAGTGTCTACTTGTGGACGGCCAAAGTAAATATCGAAATGCTCATGAAAATATTTCTCAAAGTAAGAATATCGAATTTTGTTTGTTGAATATTTTACTTTGAACATATCAAACCTAATTTTCATATTGAGTTTAGATATAGATAGGTTTTATTGCTGTAATGAGTTTCCTTAACAGGGAATGATTCAATATGCTGGCTAATTAGTACGTTGTTTTCTTCTGAAATAGCATTGCCTTTTATATTTTGTCCCCACTTGTCTTATGGAGTTATGTTTTGTTTTAGAAAACCTTTTAAACGCTTCAACCTTTTGATGCCAATACTAAACAAACTAAGAAATGCCTTTTGACAGACCCTTCTTCGTTTACCATCAACTGGGACATAATGATGAAAGTAACAAATTTTTTCCTTTGAGTTCTCGGGAGTTTGTGGTTGAGATTTTCTTTTAATGTTAACTTCTTGTGAAGGACCTGGTAAATATATGTCCTGATCATCCTTAGTGTTAAGGGCACTAAAGCGATTACGGGAACTGTATTTACGGAAGATAGTCTCTTTCTGCACTTAAAGATGCATTTACCTTAAAATAATGTAACTGAAAAACTCAAAAATGCCAAAAATGTTAATTAGTCCCTTTCTGAAATAAACGATTCAATTGTTCATATCAGTAAATTAGGAATAAAAATGGCCTTGTAATACTTTTCTGAATAACTTCATTGTACTACATTAATTGCTGTTGAGATAGAACCATCAATTTTGGTTAACTATTTTTAGTCTGTAAGTTAATCACTGATTCAATCAAATACTATGCCTCTTGTGCCATATTTTTTTTTATTTTGTAAGTTATAGTTCGCCATTCGACCACCCGATTAATGTCTAAGGATAGTGCTATAATGTACATATCTTCATTAATCTTATTTGTCTATTCAGTTAAGATGGTTTGTCTGTTTTTTTACACTTTCTTAGATTTTCTCTTACATACAATATTTGCGTTTACCTATTTTACACCTGTGTCATGTTAGCTCCTACCCAGCCAGCTCCAAATCTAGGCGAAGCTCAACGCGCCAGCGGTCGAAAAAATCTTTTTCAATAATCATTATAAATTTAAATAAAAAATTATGACACCTTCAGTATGGTTTTTATTTTTTTATTACCCTTTACGGAGTTATAATAGGGAATGTAAAGGGGATTGAGCTACAAAATAATAAAAAAAATTCAGTGCTTGGTAGCAGAAACGAAATTTTTTTTTTTAAATTTCATTACGTCATGCTATACGTAAGATTAGGATTTTAGGGAAGGTTCATTATTTTTGAAGCTGGAACAAAAATATTTTGTTTTTCAAAATTTCGTTAAACTACTCGTTAAATAATAAAGAAGAACAACTTTTTATAACACTATTTTGAATGCTATAGGTGAAATAAGGATTTTAGAAGTTAATATTTTATTATTTTTGAAGCTGGCACAAAATTAGTTATTTTTTTTATAAAATTTCATTACGCCCCGTAATAGATAATAAAAAACAAAAACTTTTTGTTGATACCATTTTGAATGCTACATGTGAAATAGGGATTTTAGAGAGGGCGCATATTTAAATTTTTTTGGACATTGAAAATTTGTTTTCTTTTCTTTCCAGGATAAGAGGGAAGTATTGTCATCGTGAGAAAGTCACTATCCGAGATTATTTCAGATTTTCACTTTTCAGGATCACTAGAATACGAAATCCATGTTTCCCCAATCCGTCGGTTTGTTTGTCGTCGTCTGCCGTCGTCTATCGTCGTCTGGCGTCTGTCTGTTGACGCAGTAGCTGAAAAATAGCATTCGAGAAAACTTTAAATTTTGTATACATGTAAGGCTCCTTTCCGCCTCTGCGTATTTATATACAAGATGAAAAGTTAAAAAAAAACATTTATTATTAAAAGTAGGCAGATTTCGACTAAAATTTGTGTCTGAATATTTTAGAAGTCAATGATAACAGATCCTAAATAAGGTTTTGAAAATTCAATATGATGTTGAATGGAATCATATTTAATAAAAAAAGATCCCCCTTGAATGGAAATAATAAAATCGTCCTTTTGGTTCGTGTAACTGGACCATTTTAAGAGCAGCCTATCATTATCGTTTATTAACGGTGAACGTGACACCGGGCGGACACAAAGTTCGGGTGGGATCAAGAGGTCGATGGAGAGAGAAAGGTTAAAAAGGGTTTTTGGTTTAGGTGTTTTAATTATAATTTGTTAAAAAGTGCTTTTTTTAAATTTCTTTATCGAGGCAAGTTAGTTCTCGTTTTTAAACCATTTTGAATGTTTTTAGAGAGATTGGAAATACCAATATTTTTTATATATAGCATTCAAAATGGTATTAAAAAAATATTGTTTGTTTTTAATTATCCATTGATTAAGATAATGAAATTTAAAATAAAACAAAAAATATTTTTTTCCTGCTATGAAACATTGAAAATTTTTAATATTATTGTGTAGCTCAATCCTCTTTAAATTCCTTATTAAAATTCTGTAAAGGATAGAAAAATAATAAAGATAATACTTTATATTAAAATTTAGAATGAATAATTATTGTAAAATATTATATCGCAACCACTGGCGCAATTAGCTCTGCCTTGATTTGAAGCTGCCTGGCAGGGACCTAACTTGACACGGGTCTATATTTTACTTCTATTATCTATACCTATCTATATGAAATAATTAACTAATGAATGTATCAACTATTTGCATAGAACACTTCGTTGTTTTTAATGTTCTAAAATAACATTTTTAATATTTTTCCAGGGAGGAAGATACTCCATGTTTATAGTATTACCCAATTCCAAAGGTGGTTTGAATTCCCTGATAAGACAAATTCATCTAGGTAATTTGAAAAATATGTTATATATGATGGACAAGCGACCAGTTCAAGTAAAAATTCCAAAATTCAAGTTTGACTTTCAGGCCAGGTTTAGCAAAACTTTACAAGAGGTAAGTAACGAATTATAATAATACTAATAGTCTTTATTTTGAGGATCAATCATAATACATATACAAAACAGTCTCAAGGAAAATATATTAATGAACACATTCATTAATTGTATATGGTTCTAAATTAATTAACAATTCTTGTACTTCCCTTTTAAATACTTTAACATTTGCTAATCTTTTTATTGTATCAGGCAGTTTATTGTACAACTTTACACAACTGTACTCTTCTCCATGTTCTGTAGCTGTCAGCCTATGTATTGGATATACATGGTTTATACTTCTCAATATATAAGCATTCGTTGGTTCAAAATTTGAAAATAAATTTCTGTTTTTGAATAAAAAAATTAAGCATTCCTGGATGTATAAGTCTATCATAGTTAAGATTTTATTTTCTCTAAATTTACTTCTACCCGACTCTCTTGTATTCAAACTGAGCATAATCCGCATTATTCTTTTTTGCTCTAAAAACCCTTTTAATTGAATTGCTCCCTCCATATCTAACTCTGGTTTCAAAATTTGCAAAGTATACCAATTTTTAACTATCCTATTCCAAATATTTCTTTACTACTCTGAAGCTGTTACAGATCTGGCTCAGTTTTGTACATACAAACTCAATATGGCTTTCCTAGCACTGAAAACTATCAATATATAGACCCAGACACTTTGTACTAGTTGAGATCTTAAATATACAGTTGTTTAATTGAATATTTATTGGAATTTCATCTCTATAGTTGGTTTTAAAAAGTACCACATTTGTTTTGCTCTCATTGAGTGATTAATTTATTTATTTCTAACCATTTTTTAGCTTTAATTATCTCTCTAAACTGAACTTAGGGTTAATTCCATCATATCAGATCCATTAATTAAGATATTTGTGTTGCCTACATAATTAGTACATTGCCATAATTATTTATAAAACGAAGCTGAAATGTACCTAATCTAAAGACTCTATACACATTAATTCCGACGTAGCTTCAATTGTATTTTCAAAATACAAATAGGTAGGTAAGTCTCAGACACTTCGTCCTCTAAAACTAAAGTAATTACAACTTTGGGTTAATTCCACCGGAATAATATTAAACAAACTTCTATTCTTTGTCCAAATATAATGCAAAGTTTCATTAAATAAACGTAAGGCTATTTATATATGAAAGTTAATGGAAGAACTCGGGGTGAACAAATAAAAATCGACAAACGAAACAAAGTGTACCTAAGGGGAATTAACACATACTATATTCTCTACAAACACCATTAACAAGTTTTAATAGTATATTATACAGAGTCTTAGGTATAACACCGGCATATCTTTAACCAGCATATCTTAGCATATCTTTTTGTCTGAGACTTCGTACGCATATTTAACGATATTTATAGAATATAGGTTTTATTCGACAAAAACTAAAAATAAAGATTCGTTCTTCATTCTTCATTATTTTTTGTTACCATTCCTAAATCTTAGTCGCAATCCAAAAACTAAGATTATAGATATCTTCAATCTAAAGTGTCCTGGTTACAAGGTCTACAGAAATGACCACCGAGCATACTCGAGTGATAAAGCGATACTAGTCAAGAGAGATATAGTTTTATTACTGTATCCCAACATCTGCTGATTTATAAACAATGGAAGCCACAAATATTATGGTTCTACGAATAGTTTTGGACTACGTTAGACCTAATTCAGTCCTGCACAGGGGCGACATAGACGTTTTCTTGCCTCAGACTTAGACCGGAGTCCTAAATGGGGACTTAAATACTAAATTACCAATATGGATGCATTTTGGAATGGCAGACGAAGCAAGACACTCAGTATAAGGTCCAATTAAACCAACGCACTACCCTGGTAGTGAGGTACCTGATAAAATTGTCATTGCTATATAAAGAGAATGTGGCTTTATACCTACAGGCAATATATTCCCCACACGAAGGAGCATGCAACCATAATCTGATCCTACTAAACCTAGGTGACGGAGAGAGGTTAAACACGTCGAAAGTTGTATTGAAAACAGATTGGACATAATTCAAGAGAATTATGGCAGGTAATCTAGGCCCAAGTAAAAGAAGAACTACAAAAGCACAAAAATGAAAAAATAAATTCTAAGAACTATACTCGTAAAAGACAGGTTTCTGGAATTTACAGAAGATCCCAAGAGATGATAAAAAAGTCCCATCTTTTCATGGAATCAACGGTATAGCAAACACCACAGAAGAAATAGCAGAGATATTTATCTACACGCTGTAGAGTAGATATCTAGAAAATCAACATGAAGATGAAAACATTGACGTCAGTGAAGCAGTAAGACAAAATATGGAAAGAGAAGAAAAAGATAGAGTATAATATCTAACGCTCGCGTCACCAAACAAAGTTAGAGCAATTATAAACTAAGCCTCAGCTGAAAAAGCTCCTAGAGAGGACTGGATTTCAAATCGTGTCCTAGAAAATTTTCCACTAAAAGTCATTGTCGTCTTTTGTTTACGCGATTCTAAGGTTCAACTCAATATTTCAAAAAAAAAAAATGAATAATGTTATAATGTTATAATGATCAGGAAACCAAAGATCCAAAATTTCCACAGAACTATAGACCAATAGGCTAATTGGTCTATAGGTCTAGCTGCGAGTCAAATAACAGAACGAATGATCTTAAAAATTCAAAAATAAGAAACACAGGAATTGAATGTAATGTCAGATGAGCAGCTCACTCATTAGAGCTACAAATTCTAAGAATAGTCGAATTAATCGCACAGGAAGTCAACATCAACAGGTTAATTTGGATAATATTTATTGTCATTAAGGCATTTGACGGAGTCTGCCATACTGGACTAATATACAAAATAGGGAACTTCGGTTATTCATGAGTCATGATCTTACTGTCAAAGTCGTACTTAGGCGGAAGATATGAAACTTCAGAAGTCGCAAGTCAGAGACAGATTTGTCACCTTTTCTGTATACGATGTGCACAGCAGACATACCAAAGATACAGAACATTACATTATCTTTGTATGTAGACGATACTGCGATTGCAGCAACAAGCACACAACCTGGGATAATATCAAGATACTTAGGCGGAAGATACGGAACTCCAAAAGTTGCAGTAGCAAAGGAGACAGATTTGTCACCTTTTCTGTGTACGATGTGCACAGCAGACATACCAAAGATACAGAACATTACATTATCTCTGTTTGTAGACGATACTGCAATTGCAGCAAGAAGCACCCAACCTGAGATGATATCAAGATACATATAAGCCGCAACAACAGAAATAGAAGAATAGTGTATAAAATAGAAGATCAAGGTGGATGCAAAGAAGAGTCAAGTGGTAGTATTCAAGAAAAGAGTACAGGCACTAGGAGAAAAGATATGATTGACGCAAAACACGATATTCCTAAAAGTGAAAATAGACTTATAACATACGTTTAAGGGGCACGTTAAGATAGTAACAGGAAAAACAACGCAGGCCGTATATTCATGTATTCATATACTATTTAATAAGGAGAGAAAACAACCTTAGAACGAACACCAAGCTAGGGATAATAAAGCCAGCAATACGGATATATACTTCTGCGTCATGGGGTTAAACATTTAGAACGTACATTTAGAGGATACAGGTCCAACAAAATATGTTGCTTGGGATGGCTGCGCCTTAGTAAATTCGTAACCGCTTCCTGATTAGAGACTTAGATACCACTAACTTCCTGGTTGTTAAGAGAGCAGTTAATTTCTTGGATCTGCAGAATCACTCTTATCTAGAGCTTAGAGACTTCACGACTTACGAAAGAGAAGACTACAGGAGACATGCGTGACCCAGAAAACAACTAAAGACTGAAGACGAAGATTGAGAAAAAGTTAGGTGAGGAGCAGCGCTTGATATAAGAACAGGTAAGTCAACAAAAAATTAAACAAATATATTATAAGTTACCATTGGTAATTCGATAAGCATTTTTCACAGGGTTATTTTTAACTTCGCATGTGATAACAGCGCGAACCCAGACTGGGACAACCGAAGTCAACTCTGCACTATTGGCTAGACTAGTTACCAAATGCAGGGGATTAGCCGAGCATTCACTGTGTAACAAACAAAGACTTAATCACAATCGGAAACTTTGAATTTGAGAGTTTTCTGTCAGCTTTTTTTAAATGACGAAAACACCTTAACTTTTATTGCGCACTAGAAGGTATAACGTGCAAATCAATTGCTTTTTAGATTGTAGACCTAGCAAAAGAAAAAGCATGGGGGTGGACGCTATTGTAGTGTTGTTAGAGTACTTTAGTTCTAGTTTTTTTTTTTTTTTTTAATAAAATGTGTTTCTATACTCCAGGCTACCGCTTATTGAGAAGATTATTTTTTATTGAATTATTCTTGTTTTATTTGTGTAACGAGCTCTTCCTTTTTTGATTGACGTAAATAAAGACAGGGACTTTCAAAAAACTTGCTAAATCATCATCACCTCCCCCATTTAAAAAGAAAACATAACAAAAATAAACTTATTACCGAACTAACTACACTCACCGACTTAAAATTCGATCCATTTAAAATAATAATTTATTTAAAAATGCTCTAACTTTGCGTCGTGGCATATCCTCAATTAGATCTCGAATCTTCATCTGGTCAATCTGATCCCATACTTGAACCAAAACATCTCTCAAAAAATTAAAATTACTTGAAGAAGGAACTCGGTTATTAACTCGTCTGCCCATTATGTCCCAGACGTGCTCAATTGGATTGAGGTCTGGGCTACGTGATGGCCAGTTCATCCTTTGAATTTCTGTTTCGTCCAAATATTGAGATACAATCCTCGCAATATGTGGTCGAGCATTGTCATGCATAAACATGAATTCGTTTCCTATAAACGGTGAAGATGGAATTACATGTGGATCTAGCACATCACGAATATATCGGTTAGCTGTCATTGCTCCGCCGCCAACAATGACTAAATCAGTACGAGCTTCCATGCTTATGCCGCCCCAAACCATTACCGATCCTCCTCCATAACTGAGTCTTGTGGAAAAATTTGCTTGGTCAAACCTTTCGCCTCTTCTTCGGTATATTCTTTCACGGCCATCAGGAGAACGTAAACAAAACCTTGACTCGTCAGAAAATAAAATCTTACTCCAGTCATCGACATTCCAATGTTAATGCTCCCTGGCAAATCGAAGACGTGCTGTTCTCTGATTCCTAAGTAACTCCGGACCAGTTGCAGGTCTTCTGGAGCATAATCCATGTTCTCGTAATCGCCTTCGAATCGTTATTTCGTTAACAGCTACTTGACGTACTTTTTCTAAATGATTTCGAGCCATGACAGCAGTAGTATTTCTTTCTCGCAAAACATTTAATGTTACAAAACGATCATCTCGAACATTTATTTGTAGAACGTCGTCTGATAGATCCTCTTCGTCTCGAAAAACTACCAGTTTCATTGAAACGTTATATAGCTCTCTGGACGCTACACCTTGTAACACCCAATATTCTAGAAGCATAATACTGAGACCTATCGTCTTGTACTAGAGCAACTGCTCGTGCTGCATCAGTAGGCGTTAAAACCATGATGTTATGCTGATAATGAATATTTGTTAGGCTGATAATTAAACTGCAATTGCCAAGTAATGAATATTTGACAGTTGTCATATTGTGAGTTAGCCACAGCACTCTACTTATTTTGTAGTTTATTCTCTACCGTCATTTAAATTATGACCGTTTCTAAAATGTAGCATTTTCTTTAAACCGTCACATTTCACAAACAAATTAAGATATCGAGGTAAATAAAAAAACAAAGGGTTTGAAACATCAGTCAACTTTATAAAGTTAATCGTGTGCAGATCTACTAGCAGAATTACCCACAGGGTGTGTCAAAAGTAGAGGAAAAAATTGTTTTCTCTTCTCCCCTGTATATGCGGCGAGTACTAAATTACTTTTAGATGACCGAATAATAATCTTAAAACTACAGTATTTCATCTAAAAGTTGCTAAAAAATTCAAATAAATCAGCCTCCGCATTTGAAAGTTAGAGCATTTTTAAATAAATCATTATTTTGAATGGATCGAATTTTAAGTCGGTGAGTGTATTTGTTATCTACGGTATATCTAATACACTTATCTAAAATTCAACAATTATCTAAGGTTTTTTAGTTTTTTCAAACTATTTAATTTGCCTTACACAAACCCGACATCCAAGTAAAATGTACGTAGAGGAATTGAAAGAATTTTGCATACGTTCCAATCCCACTCCACAATCCTACCTGTTCTGTTAAAGATATAAAGACAGAAAACACCGTAGAAAGCTCAGGGAAATTTAACAAAAACCCAGCGCAGACTTGATGAATATTCATAGAAGGAAATTTTAGTATGGTTTACCTACTTCAAATGATGAAAACACGACCAGTTTCCAAGGATTGGCCAGCTGAGAAAATTGCAACGTTGGTTGTTCTGTTGGAATTAAATTTTCAGAGTGGATTTAGATGTTGGATTATTTTAGATTTATATTTTTGATAATGTCGTTTTCGTTCCTAGATAAAATAGAAATTACTTTCCTAAAATATAGTGCGAGAAATGATATAAATTAAATTTGATGTACACTTACATGTTTAATAAAAAAATATTTGATTGTCTCTAGTTATTTACCTATTTTTTTCTCAACACAAGTATATTGGATAGATACCGGCATGTGAAACTAGTGCCGAATATTTTCCTATTGTTAAATGTAGTCGAATCTGACTTGGTCCTAATAAACTATAGTTTGAGACACACCTTTTGATCTTCTGATATGTGCTATGCATTGAAATTTACCTCTTTCTGAACACTATTTTACAAATATCTTCCTAAACTATACGGTGTGTCTGAAATTGGCGATGCATATACTGCGATCTTTGAAACCGTTAGAGATATAAAAACAGTTAAATGGGGAAAGTTTTAGACAATTATGTTTTTAATTCAATGCCGTTTAGTTTTAGATTTTTCTCTTCAATCATATGCTCTATTAACATTTACTCCTTTCTCAGCTGATTTATCATCTTCTTCATCATTCTCCTCAATTCATCATACTTTTCTCCTTTCTCTCCTATTGTTTCTATATATCAAGAATTTAAATAATATAGAAACCAAATTCCAATTATTAAAATAAATTACTGCCAAACGTTGGGCGCCATTTGATATGATATTTAATCTCTCAATTTGGAAATGTCTACTTCAGTTAAGTACAACTTCTGAAAAAGTTACAAATAAATGAATTTCAAATTAAATTTAACCAAAGCCTAAAAAACAAAACTTTTCACGACCTTCTTATTTATCTTCTAGTCTTTCTAAACTCTTTTTTTGCGCTATACTGTCTTTATTTCCCAATTCTACACTTCTGCGTCATGTGCTTCCTTTGCTTCCTTTGCTTCCTTTGCTTCCTTTGCTTCCTTTGCTTCCTTTGCTTCCTTTGCTTCCTTTGCTTCCTTTGCTTCCTTTGCTTCCTTTGCTTCCTTTGCTTCCTTTGCTTCCTTTGCTTCCTTTGCTTCCTTTGCTTCCTTTGCTTCCTTTGCTTCCTTTGCTTCCTTTGCTTCCTTTGCTTCCTTTGCTTCCTTTGCTTCCTTTGCTTCCTTTGCTTCCTTTGCTTCCTTCGCTTCCTTTGCTTTCTCTGCTTTCTCTGCTTTCTCTCCTTTCTCTGCTTCCTCTACTTCCTCTGCTTTTTTTTATACATGCTGTCTTTCTGATATATTATAAATTAGACTGGTCTCTTATCTTTTGTAAACCTTATTTCTTGCAACTTGCTTTCAATATCCAAACTTTTTTTCCTGCTAAAAATGTCCAATTCTCTAAAAATGTCCAGCTGACATCCCCTTTTCACAACTGTGCCCTTTCTAGGAGTTTAACCACCCTTCAACGGATCAGTGTCAATTTGAAAAACATAAAAAAAACAATGACGTATACTTTTATGTGTCAATACATATAGAAAGTGACTAAAATTATCAGAATAACGGTAAATGTGGCAACAGTACAAAGTAGAATAGGAATCGGCATATCTCAAACCCCAGCATCCAAAATTGTGTAGATTTCTGACAACCCATTCATAAAATAGTTTGTGATCAACCATCTGAAGATATTTTATAATGGAAAAAATACACTCACACACACTCATTTTACTTGGATGTCGGGCAGGGTTGCCAATCGTACGGTAATTACCGTACCTGTACGGTAATTTCGGTCAATGTACGGTACACGGTCCAAAGTCATTACCGTACATAAAAGTACGGTATTTACATAAAAAGTACGGTAAATGTACGGTATTTTGAACAGAATTAGCAAAGGCCCAATGTAAAATTGCCATTTTAATCTTTTTACAGCACATGTTTTTCAAAAGGGCCTAGTTTTTACGCCCTTTTTTTAGAAGCTAGGTAGAAGGACCAGAGGTTGATTAAAATAATACAACGAGGACTTTTTTTTTAGAAATCCGACGAAAAATATAGTTTTTTTTACAAAATAAAAGTGTACGGTACTGGGAGGCCATGTACGGTAATTTAAATTGCGCGGTACGGTAAATGGAATTTGAAAAGTTGGCAACCCTGATGTCGGGTTTGTGTAAGGCAAATTAAATAGTTTGAAGAAACTAAAAAACCTTAGATAATTGTTGAATTTTAGATAAGTGTATTAGATATACCGTAGATAACAAATACACTCACCGACTTAAAATTCGATCCATTCAAAATAATGACTTATTTAAAAATGCTTTCAAATGCGGAGGCTGATTTATTTGAATTTTTTAGCAGTTTTTAGATAAAATACTGTAGTTTTTATTTTATTATTTTATTATTCAGACATCTAAAAGTACTCACCGCATATACAGGGGAGAAGAGAAAACAATGTTTTCCTCTACGTTTGACACACCCTGTAGGTTAATTCTGCTAGTAGATCTGCACACAATTAATTTTATCAAGAAGACTGATTTGTTTCCAACACTATTTTTTTTTATTTACTCCGATATCTTAATTTGTTTGTGAAATGTGATGGTTTAAAGAAAATGCTACATTTTAGAAACGGTCATAATTTAAATGACGGTAGAGAATAAACTTCCAAATAAGTAGAGTGCTGTGGACAACTCACAATATGACAACTGTCAAATATTCGTTACCTGGCAATTGCAGTTTAATTATCAGCCTAACAAATATTCATTATCAGCATAACATCATGGTTTTAACGCCTACTGATGCAGCACCAGCAGTTGCTCTAGTACAAGACGATAGGTCTCAGTATTATGCTTCTAGAATATTGGGTGTTACAAGGTGTAGCGTCCAGAGAGCTATATAACGTTTCAATGAAACTGGTAGTTTTTCGAGACGAAGAGGATCTATCAGACGACGTTCTACAAATAAATGTTCGAGATGATCGTTTTGTAACATTAAATGTTTTGCGAGAAAGAAATACTACTGCTGTCATGGCTCGAAATCATTTAGAAAAAGTACGTCTAGTAGCTGTTAACGAAATAACGATTCGAAGGCGATTACGAGAACATGGATTATGCTCCAGAAGACCTGCAACTGGTCCGGAGTTACTTAGGAATCACAGAACAGCACGTCTTCGATTTGCCAGGGAGCATCAACATTGGAATGTCGATGACTGGAGTAAGATTTTATTTTCTGACGAGCCAAGGTTTTGTTTACGTTCTCCTGATGGCCGTGAAAGAATATACCGAAGAAGAGGCGAAAGGTTTGACCAAGCAAATTTTTCCACAAGACTCAGTTATGGAGGAGGATCGGTAATGGTTTGGGGCGGCATAAGCATGGAAGCTCGTACTGATTTAGTCATTGTTGGCGGCGGAGCAATGACAGCTAACCGATATATTCGTGATGTGCTAGATCCACATGTAATTCCATTTGCACCGTTTATAGGAAACGAATTCAGGTTTATGCATGACAACGCTCGGCCACATATTGCGAGGATTGTATCTTAATATTTGGACAAAACAGAAATTCAAAGGATGAACTGGCCATCACGTAGCCCAGACCTCAATCCAATTGAGCACGTTCTGGGACATGATGGGCAGACGAGACCATAATCGAGTTCCTTCTCCAAGTAATTTAAATTTTTTGAGAGATGTTTTGGTCCAAGAATGGGATCAGATTGAGCAGATGGAGATTCGACATCTAATAGAGGGTATGCCACGACGCATTGAGGCAGTTATTCGCGCTCGTGGGGGAAATACCCGTTATTAATTTGTAATAATTATTAGTTTATTTGTTGTTTGATTTGTTTATAAAATTATGTATTACTCTGCTAAAACTGAATAAAAAAATTAAGAATGTTACATTTTCTTTAAACCGTCACATTTCACAAACAAATTAAGATATCGGGGTAAATAAAAAAAATGTTAGGAACAAATCAGTCTTCTTGATAAAGTTAATTGTGTGCAGATCTACTAGCAGAATTAACCTACAGGGTGTGTCAAAATTAGAGGAAAAATTGTTTTCACTTCTCCCCTGTATATGCGGCGAGTACTAAATTACTTTTAGATGTGCGAATAATAATCTTAAAACTACAGAATTTTATCTAAAAGTTGCTAAAAACTTCAAATAAATCAGCCTCTGCATTTGAAAGTTATAGTATTTTTAAATAAATCATTATTTTGAATGGATCGAATTTTAAGTCGGTGAGTGTATTTAATATTTTCTGGAACCTAAATTTCAAATCATTAAGTGAATATTTTTTCGCTTCCCATTATTCAAAATTAAAAATTATAGTAAATAAAGAAATAAATATTTACCCGTTTTTTATTACACCTATTATACAATATATTATAAATTATATCCTGGGCCTAGTGCCTTGCCCTCCTAAACAGACTACAGCATCGTGTTCCATCCACTTTTCTGTTGTACAAACCACTATTACTTCAACATTTAGCAATTATTTTAATAATAAAATGTAATAGATACTAAAGTATAAATAAATGTAATATAGAATTTCCTATTTTCTAATTTTCAGTTTGGTCTGCTGCAAATGTTCCAAAACACTGCCAGTTTTCCAGGAATCGCCAGAGGAAATAGCACCATTTTGAGGAAATTACTAGTATCCGATATTGTGCAGAAATCCGGTATCGAAGTCAATGAGTATGGAAGCATCGTTTATGCCGCCTCAGGTATTCTACTTCTTGTTGGTGTAATTAATAATTAACTCATAATATTGATATTAATTTACTAGCAATGACGTTAATTGCACTATTTGGCTTGAGGTTTATTTGTGCAAATCATGTTGTTGGTAATGATGCGAATAGCCGGATTCGAATACGAAAATAAATTAAAGTTTTTATAAAAATACTATAATTGAATCATGCTGTAAATACCAAAGTGTACTATTTATCTGAGTATACACGTTACAATTTAGAAATTATAGAATTTCAGTTCATATGTTTAAAATAAAAATGGCAAGGCATAATTATGTAAATGTGATAAAATTAGTGACATGAAATATATTTTTTTCGCCTGTGAGGAAAATATTTAACAAACATTAAAGTTAACAATGAATTTTTTAAAGAATTGGTTTCCAATTAACATTATTTATTAATAATGTCCTTGAAACGTGTCGCTGCATACTGATTTATGTACGATATTTTCCGTGAATGTTGATTATCTTTATAATTTTTTTATATTTTCCCCCTTTGCTATTTTTCTCCTATTTTGTTTCCTCCCAAATTGTTTATGTCCTTCCTACCTGCCATGAGTGTTGCTTACTATATAGGTGTATTCCTTTATGTCCTACATATAATGATAGAAGTTGGCACTACTGACATTGTAAGGTTGGTGGTTGCGAATGCAATCACGTGACCCGCCCCTGCTGTTCTGTTTTGTTAGTTCGTTGTTGACGTTTCATGTTTGATCACCATTAACATACACGGTAGCCAACATGTTTAATCTTATATTAATATACCTAATATTACATGGCGCTCTGGCGAAAGAAATAAAAGTATGTGTTGTGTTAAAGTAAAAAAAAATTAATCATCTAAAACAACCGACGAATTATCATTTAAAGGTGATGTAGCAATCAAATTCAAAAAAGTCTTCATGGAAGCGTCCGGTACAGCAATAGACAAATATATAACTGCCAAAAGAAAAGTGGCAATATTATTACGGTCAAGGTATAGCTGCTGGAAAATCGTGTCCGTTAAGTAGCCATTTAGATGTTTTTGGGTCTCCATCTTCCAATCCCGAAATGTGCGCTCGTATTATCTCTCTTAGTAAGCTTAAGAGTTGCGCTGTTTCTTTGGTGATACGGAAGGACTGTGAACTTTGATCAGATAGCACTCGTAGAAGTTGGAATAAAATGAACCTCTTCTTCAAAATCTAGGAAAGGACAGAATGTCTATAAGAAGCCTGCAACGGTGAGCCTGAAGAAACAATTACGAAAAAATTACGTTCCAATTACTCATTAGTTTTTAAGTTTTTTGCCAACCTACCGTCTAATAGTGGGTCCCAATGTTGCAACTAAACACACCTGACTTTCAGAGTCCTTAACTTGTTGATATTTGATATTTTGTCCCTTACGTTACCTTTTATGGTCTTGAAGATGCCTTAGTCGGCGAAAGAGCTAAACTAATTTTTTTAATAAAATGAAATTGTTTTAAAATCTTTCATTTTCTCCCACTATCCACACCTACACCCTCTTGATTAATATTTACTTTTAAATACAATTTTGTTATTTTGCTCATTAAGATTATACTTTTTTTAAATTTAAATCATATATGACAGATACTTAAAATCTTACACTTTATTTATTTTTTAGAATTGACCATTGGCAACAAATTTGGAGAACAAATAACGACATTCGAAGCTACGCATCCGTTCATGTTCTTCATAGAAGAAGAAATTAACGGCATAGTGTTGTTTGTTGGAAAAGTTGAAAATCCTTTAGGTGGGGAAGTGTTACCTCTTGAACCGAAACCAGTTTATTAAAGACTTTAAAGTAGTAACATGGGCAGTACTTTTTAATAATGTGTAATTCATAATAAAATTATTTAATTTTTATTTTTCTTTATTACTAGGAACACGGAGAGATTTTCGTTTAGACTTGTTTCCGGTTAAACAGGAAGTGAGCCAAAAAAAAATAAATACTTAAAATAAACTTATAAAAATTGGAAGAAACTGGCCAGAACAGAATTTCATTATACAGGGTGTCCTTTAAAATGTGTCCCAAAATTCTCAGGCAGATTCCTTAACCAAAAAATGGAAAAAAAGTTCCTATAGACCTATGTCCTAAAGTGCCCCCTAAGCGAGCAACAGCCTCTCGAAATCATTTTTTTTATTTTGATTTTTTGAATTCTCTTAAAAATGGAAACAAATAAAAGAACCAAATTTTGGCTGTTAAATATGATCAATAATAGTGACCTTTTGACACCTTCAAAAAGAAATTATTTCGTCAGGGGTGTACTTGGGAATTTTTTGAAAATTTTGATTATTCATAACTTTTTTGTGTTTTTGGTAATGACTTATCCATATTTTTTTTTACATTCTACATTGAAAACTACGTCAAAAAGGAATACTTGTTTGATCTCGATTGGAGCAGCCGTTTCCGAGAAAACATCATCCAAAGATATTCGTCCACTTTAGCTTAATTTTCAATTTTCCTAAATTACCTCGGTGAATCTCGTAAATAAAAATAACTTTTTTAGCTCTCTCTAAATAATTGTAGTTCAAATGTCGTGGTGGGACTATTTTTATTTAATAATAAGAAACGGTTTAAAAAAATATTTATTCTAAAAAAACAAATCAAAAAAAATTAAAGCAGATGCTCAATGTGGCGACCATTGGTTTCCACACACTAGCGCAACCGTCGCATCATAGACTGTCTTACACGAAAAAATACTTCAGGATTATTCCTAAGAACTTCGCAATGATGAAAAACTCGTTCTTCCAATTCTTCAACTGTTTCAACAGGACTGGAATAAACCAATGATTTTAAATAACCCCAAACAAAAAAATCCATTGGATTTAGATCTGGTGAACGAGGTGGCCAGTTAACAGGACAACCTCTGCCAATTACTCTACCCTCAAATCTTTCGTTAAGGTGCTGTCTAGCTTCAAAGCTGTAATGTGGTGGAGCTCCATCATGCATAAACCACATGTTATGTCTGATTTGAATCGGAATATTATCAAGAAGCTCATGTAAGTTATTTTCCAAAAAAAGCCTGTATGCTGCTCCATTTAACCTATTCGGCAAAACAAATGGTCCAATAAGGTAATTATCAATAACTCCAGCCCAGACGTTTATTGAAAATTTATCCTGGTGGTGACCTTCAACAACCGCGTGAGGGTTATCTTCAGCCCATTCATGCATATTTCGAAAATTTATTATACCATCTCTAGTGAAACCAGCTTCATCGGTAAATAGCACTTTATTAAGAAACATTGCATCTTGATTACATCTTCCAAGAAACCATTCAGAAAAGATAACTCGCGGCTCATAATCAGTAGCTTTAAGTGCCTGAACTTTTTGAATGTGGTAAGGGTACAATTGTTGTTCACGCAAAACTTTCCATACCGTGTTACGTCCGACTCCCACTTCTGAAATTAAATGAGAGAATCTGTGTAGTGAATAGTTAAGAAAGAGAATCCATTGATTTGGGAAATCAGATTTTTTCTGCATAACGCAACTCTTTTCGATACGAAAAGTCGTGAAATGTAAGAGAAGCAATAACAAGTAAAAAAACTAGTTTTATACGATAAGGTACGGGATAGCTAAAATAATAAATAAGTAATTACTTACCATTTGCTATTTTTCTGGTACTTGTCGATGGGGTTTCAGCTATCCTATCCAAAATTGCTTCTTCCAAAGCAGGAGTTCTCACATAATTTTGTCTTCTACTGTTACTAGAGTTTTTCTTAAATGTACCAGTTTCCCGAAGTCTATCGTCAATTCTAGAAAACGTCTTCGCGCATGGAAGATGCCTATTTGGAAAGCGCTCCTGATAAAGTCTGCGAGCTTCATTGGCATTTCCAGAAGCGAGTCCAAAACATAAGTGCATGTCCGTCATTTCGCCGAATGTGTAATCATTATTGTAGTTATTGTGAGCCATTTTAAACAAAATAATAACAATACAACGAATCGCACCAGAACACTTTTAGAAATAATGTTTAACTGAAGAAACATTTTTATCAGTGGGGGAAAAAGATTATCCATGAAAGACAAAAACCCCAAAAAAATACATATTTTTACTTTTTTATTCTAAACAGCTAAATACAAACCTTATGGTCTTCATAATAAATAAATGGGAACTAAATTTTTAAATTTTATTTAGAGAGCTAAAAATAGTATACAGGGTGATTGATTAGTGTGAGTAAGCTCTGTAGATATGTTATAATAAAAGTAGGCAGCTTTAAGCTTCACATTTTAAAATTAGTTACGATGTGACAGGGTGTTTCATAAGGCCGTGCCAAATCAAAGTTATGTTTTTTAAATGGAACACCCTGTATATTTTTATATTTTTAGAATCTGCTCGATAATCTGATTTCAATGATATATCACACTTGTTATCTAATATGAATAGTAAAGGATCTACAGCTACTCAAAAATCACATTTTTTCAAATTCAGGTGGCTGTTGTAGCCAAACAGTTGGAAATCGAGGAAAACGGCTCACAGTCCCTATCCTAACTTTTTAAGGTCTATTCAGTGACATAAAATACATATTATTTGATACAGGGTGATCAAAAATCCAAAATCACATCCGATTTTTGATCACCCTGTATCAACTAATATTTTTTGCCACTGAATAGACCTTCAAAAGTAAGGATAGGGACATGTAAGCCGTGTTCCTCGATTTCCAACTTTTTGGCTACAACAGCCAAAATTGAAAATTAACCTAAACTGCACGAATATCTTTGGATGATGTTTTCTCGGAAACGGCTGCTCCAATCGAGATCAAACAAGTATTCTTTTTTGACGTAGTTTTCAATGTAGAATGTAAAAAAAAATATGGATAAGTCATTACCAAAAACACAAAAAAGTTATGAATAATAAAAATTTTCAAAAAATTCCCAAGTACACCCCTGACGAAATAATTTCTTTTTGAAGGTGTCAAAAGGTCACTATTATTGATCATATTTAACAGCCAAAATTTGGTTCTTTTATTTGTTTCCATTTTTAAAAAAATTCAAAAAATCAAAATAAAAAAAATGATTTCGAGAGGCTGTTGCTCGCTTAGGGGGCACTTTAGGACATAGGTCTATAGGAACTTTTTTTCCATTTTTTGGTTAAGGAATCTGCCTGAGAATTTTGGGACACATTTTAAAGGACACCCTGTATAAACTAATTTAGTTTTATTTCATTCTGGTATAATTGAGAATCTTTGGAACAAAACCGCATAAAAACCATTTTATGGAAATTATAATCGATAAATATTAAATTTAGGTGTATTCGTTTAAAAAATAAGATAAAAAAAGTAAAGTAATAAGTGTCTTAATTGAAAAATCTTGTTATCTTTACGAAAAGGAAGAACTAAACGGTATTGTTATGAGTATGGAAAAGTGACAAACGGTATAAATTATTATTTTATAAAAAGACTTGCCTGCAATAGCGTAAAAAAACAATCAAATCATTAGGCACAATACATATTAAAACATGTTCAAAATGAGCATTATGAGTGAAAAAATGTGGTCGAAGTGACAAAGGTTTTCGATCGATTGATAGATGATATTACTAAAGATACTTATATTTATTCACTACATTTTCATGGGTTCAACAGTAGAAAATCCTTGTCTGGTATTACACAATATTTTTTAGTTTCCTCCTTAGCCTCTGACAAAACTCAACTCTTGCAGTATAATTATACTATTTATCGATTTTAGTCATTATCAGTTGAAGAATAGAGTGGCGTTTCACTGCGTACGCTTAATACAATTACAAGTAAACTATGTGTCCTAACTCTATAACTTTTTTGCACATTTTTTAATTCTCTGAATCTCTCGCTGGTCGGATTGAAGCTGATGGAGGGCTGAGGGTTACTCACATATAGACTAGAACAAACTTAAGTTTGGGACAGCAAATGTTGGTTGCATACTAATCTGCGCATATAGGTGGGCTTTGTTTGTCAGTGGCGGGGGACGAAAATAAATGGAAAAAAAGAAATACTTTTTTATGCATATAATTATCAAAATTCGAAAGGTAATTAATTTGCTTTGTACAATAGGTACGTAAGTTGTTATGCTTTTTTAATTTAGAATACACATGCAGGTTACTAAATGTACTTAATTGTATCCACTAAACAACCTAACTTACGCAGCGTATATTTTAAATTACTGTAAGTTTGTCATAAAATGTAGTTTTGGAAAACTTGTTAACTGCAATAAAGTACATGTATGTACCTACGTAGCAATAGGTACTTTATAAAAAATTAGCATAAGCAAATTTTTAAAATAAAAGGATAATTTTTAAAAATTGTTGGTTTATTGCTTTTACTAGATACTTAAATTAACGTAATTTTTTTTCTTTATAGACATTTAATACATAAGAGGAGAAAGGTACAAATTAGAAATAACAATAAAAATGTACACTACGATGCCTCATCGGACGATTCTGAATCTAAGAATTCTATTCCTAAACTATCAGAACTCTCATCATCTTCAGTAAAGCTTTCCTCTGATGAACCAGTGTTGACAGTAAATATCAAGGGGTATCCATGGCTGCGTCCAATAAATGCTTCTTTTCGATTTGAACATCTTCATACTTTTTGACATGGCTACATATGTTAGCCCACTCCTTTATGGATACATCAGCAAATTTCGTTCGTGCTAAACTTACTACATCGTTTAACACGAAAGTTGTATTGTGAGATGCCACCCAATTTTTAACCAAGGCCCATATTTTTTCAATAGGGTTAAGTTCTGGATGATATGGTGGCAAGCCAAGAACTTTATGTCCATGTTCTTCTAATAGCTTATCCAATACGTATACAGGTGGAAACCGTGGTTTATGTTCTTGAATAATTTTGTTTAATTCTGGTTTTGTCAATTTATCGTTAAACGGGATGCTATTCTACTGTAGCCACTTAATCATAACTGCTTTACGACTACCTGACGTTACATTTTTTTCAACTGTCACATTGTGATAGGATGCGTTATCTAGTACCAGGACCGACTTTTTAGGTAAGTTGGGCAAGATCTGGGTATGGCAACTTCATGAAGTTGCCATGGTTCATATCATCGTGATAATCGCCGCTCTTACATCCTAAAAATAAAAGTTTCCTGAAATTGTTCTCGATAGTAGCATGCATTTATTTTATTGAGATTTATAAAAATTTTAGGTTACTGGTTTTGTAATAAAATTATTTTATTGTTATAAAGGTGTCGTCTCACTTCGTACTGTCTCAGTTTGTACGATGCAAAAATTATACCTGTTTTAGTTTAAGTTTGTACGGACTCTCCCAAACCATGTTAATACAGCAGGAGCATAAACATTTTTTTTAATTTCACAATGGTATCGTATCTGTATAGTTCCACATAATTAAAATTATTATGTAATTAAAAATACTCACCTAAAATTCTTTAAAGGTATCAATACGTCCTTGGTAGCATTGAAGTGGGCCGCTTCTTCTTCCATAAATTTCGAAATATTATTATTGATTTCTTTTGTTTGACTGCGTAATCCCTGTCCCCTTCTGCCAATTTTTTTCGGAGCCATATCGTCCAAATCACTTTTATTTCTAAATTAACTATGTAGATACTATAACTAAACTTATACACTATTATTGCTACTCTACTATAACTAGTACGGCACTAAATTAAAAAAATAAGAATAAGGAAATACACCACTTGAATAAAGAAGAGCACTACCACATAGCGCTGTTAGATACAAATTGTTTCACCTATTCGCCTCTTTACGCTACGGTACTGGCCATCGCCGTGTTAGAGGTTGGCATGGTAACGATAGTCAAAAAATCTACGGCGCAACCATCGGATCGACACGTGGGTGTACCAAACTTAAGTTTGTTTTACTCTACTATAGGCAATAGTTTGTTGATCTGCCAAGTAACTCTACGTGTAACTTAACTTAGAAGTGAAAAATTTTACTATAAAACTACCTGCACGTTTGATAAACGAAATTGCGTGAATGAGATAAAGTAAATTATCATATACTAGTCCACTTATAAGCCTTATATTTCTATAGAAAACTTATCTCAATTTCAAAAGATAAAATCTGATTCCAATATAACAGCACAACAGCACAAACAAAACAAAAAGTAAATGACAGAAACTAACGTCAAACGCAAGCTTCCAGTTAGACATTCCAACGACATGTCCAAATGGCTACTAGTGGCCGTGGGGACTGACAGTTTAGATATGGCAACCGTGTTGGCATGTTGTCATTAACAGGGTCAATGATACATATATAGTTATATAGATTGCTTAAAGCTGATCGTTTGCGAGTGGCCATATTGCCTGGCAAATATTTATTAATTTGAATCGGTTTAGCAAAAAGGTGTTTTAAAACCAATTTTCAGCCTTTGAATATTTAAAAAAAAAATAATTGCTTACATTTTCACTTCAAGGCATAAGCTTATGTTTATTTTGAAAAATATAGATGATCAATCTATGTAACTATTTATTTTATTGACCTTGTCAAATCACCAGGCCTACAGGGTTACCCACATACTTTGATTTTCTCTTACCCTAGTTGTCGCTAAAATAAAATGACTACTACATAACCTATATCTTCTTTTTACAAATGAGAAATTTTTTATTAACTTTTGGCCTTTTACAACATAACCCGTTTCGTAATCTTCTGTGTCACATTTTTATCATGTTCCAGAAACATTTTCAGAGAAATATTTAAATAATATATCACAGAAATTTGTTCTGAAATAGTGAGTGCTGTATAGGCAATTATCTATTTGAGTCTTTTCCTTTAAATCTATACAACACTTTCCAGTCTTGCTTATCCGTAATAACTCTTAATATTTAGTCGCGTCAAATTAGCATTTTACCTGTAACTTTTTGCGGAGAGATTCGATTGAGATGCGGTTTTCTGCAAAATGTTCAGGAAACCGTCTATAACAAAAGGTATATCTAACCTCTGTACGCTCGCAAATTCTTTATTGTTTATTTAACAAATGAGGCATTTTTGTTGGAGTGTTGATGAATATGTGGCAAATCTCCCATACGGTTCAACGAAAATGTCTAAAAAATATTCTCTCGGGGGGTTTCGAGGTCCCTCTTTATCACTCAGGTGTCAGATTTATTATTTATTGCTAAATTGTTATAACTTGGCTAATTAACAAATTAATATCTCAACCCCCGAAATCACTAGAGAACCAGAATTTTTTCCAGAATTTCTGCCTTGTTAGAGCGAACCATCAGCACAAAATTTTTTCAAACATAATTGTTTATTGTTCGATTGTTGCAACCTCGCTAATTAACAAATCAATAACTCGATTCCTGGAATCGTTAGAAACCCAGATTTTTTTTCAATAACTCTGGGATCATGAGAAGAACAATTGCCAGAAGGTTGTTGCAAATATGATTGTTTATTTTTTAATTGTTGCAACCTGGTTGATTAATAACTGTCATCCAACAAAGGTCAGAACACTGGTGTTTTTCTGTAATGCAATGGGGGCTATTCAGAACTCGTAGCCAAGGACTTTAAATTGTTCTTGTATTGAAACTATTCATAGGTAATGGAAGGTTACTTGAATAATACAATGATATATTATTAATGATTGCTCTTTATTGGCAAAATACCATGCACGTACTGATAAGCTTTACATTGAAAAAAATATTCTTAGTGCACGTCTTCACAAAAACTTTCGTCAATTTGATCTGTTTCGAAATAGTCAACTACAGAGACATTGTTGGGGGATAATGTCAATGGTCAGTGGAGGTACAAAATCAACAGCAGCCGGATCGCCATCGTCTGAATCTTCTATAAGCACAGGTCTGCAGTTTGTGCAATCATTCACGGCACAATTCACATACGCTGCAATGCAATACAATCCCGCTTTCCTGCACCCACACACTGTTGCACAGCCTGTGGTTGTGTATGAAAAAAATGTGACCTCTAGTAGAGACGATGGGGCAGCTTCATGAATCATCGAAACTCCTCCTAGTATCAAATTCCCAGCCCCAGTTACTGGGGTCCAAAATGTTTCCCATCCAGCATTGAATTTGGAGATAAACTTTCTTGATATGTTGTAGAGCTGCATCTTCAGTAGGTGGTAAAGAGCACAAGACTACTTTTGTCTACATAGATGCTACATTTTTGCAAAAATACTCAAATCTGAAGTTATTTAATCCTGTTATAATTTTTGGCACCGTACAAAGCCAAAATAAATTTTATTCCATTTATCATATGGTCATGTAGATGAGCATCAGGTGGTTTAAACAATTTTCCAGCATCTTCTAATTCTGTAGATTTTTTTAATATTCCGGCTAGTTTAGTCTTTTCTTTTCCATAAAACGCAGATGTTGTATCACATCCTAATATAGCCTATAAGAATAAAATATTTTCTTTAACTACTGGTGAATGATCTAAACTTTTAGATAAATAAGTTGTACTGGGTGTTTTACCTTCTAGTGGCTTGATGTAAAATATCTCTTTGTCATCGGGTGTTAATGCCACCAATATCACTAAAACATCTATGTCCTCTGCAACAATAGCTTTTTGAATCGGATGCAGAGATGTTTGGTTCGCCTTAACAAGCCAGAAATGCTGGAAAAAAATTTGGTTATCTAGTGATTTCGGGAGTTGAGTTTTTCATTTGTTAATTAGCCAAGTTACAAGAATTTAGCAATAAATAGTAAATCTGACACCAAAGTGATAAAGAAGGACCTCAAAACCCCCCGAGAGAACATTTTCCAGACATTTTCGTTGAACTGTGTGTGACATTTGCCACATATTCATCAACACTCTAACAAAAATGCTTCATTTGTTAAATAAACAATTAAGCATTTGCGAGCGTACAGAGGTTAGTGTTATAGACGGTTTCCTGAACAGCAGAAAACCGCATCTAAATCGGACTTCTCCACAAAAAGTTGTCCATTTTCACTTTTTTCATGCTAATTTGACGCGACTAGTTAATTCTAGGAATCCTTTCCTCACACAATCTCAGGTTCTGAAACTCGACTTCGAAGGATTCTAACTTGATCAGTTTTACTAGCACAAGTCTCTGTCTTGTTCATATAATTTTAATTTATAATAATTAATTTTTCCAATAAATTTTATAGAAAATAAAAAGTTTTTCATTGCCAATTATTATTAGGTAAACGAAAAGGAACAGGTTTTACTGTAAACAACATCTACAGAGTTTACTCGTTATTTTTTATAGACGGTGCATAAAAGAATAAAAACGTAACAAATTACTAATCTTCGAACCATAAAATGTTCAATCTAAAATTACTCACACTCTCAATTTAGTTTCCATTATATATTTATGGCTAAGCTTCAGCGTTTATTTTTTCGGTTAAGTGGAAGCTATTCTTTTTCACCGTCATAACCTCTTGGTAATTCTCGGCGAACTGCGGCTTTCTAGTTTTATTCTATTATTTGGAAATTTATATCGACTCCGATAAAGTTCGCTATAAAACTAAGCAAAGAAGGAATACGGAAACTGGGTTGGTTCCTTAGGAAGAGCATGGGCGTACTTAATATTGAATAAGGTAAATATTTTCATTTCATTTGATATAGCCGATAGGATAAACATCAAATCAGTTGTATCAGTATCTGAGTAAAACAATCTCAAGTTTTATTTATACTTTTAGTCTGAGAGTATTATAATAATAGGGGAAAAACATTATATAGAGGGTGGTTAAAAAATGGGTAACATCATGGAAACACTTTATTAACTTAAACTAAGTAAACAATGCTGGTTCCAAATAAAGGTGGGAGTCTATTTTTCTGCTAGCCATAAATGTTTTACAACGCTAGGATGGAACATAGCTGCCCTCCTTGAAAGCTCCTAGTTTTTAACAGTTCTGATTGGGTAGAACGCACATTTTGGAAAGTGGGTGATGATACTCTATAGCACTAATTTTTATGGTGGTACTCGGATGACGCCGTTACGTCCGCGAAGCACAGAAGTGACTCTACCTACGATCCAACGTAGAGGGGGCAGGTCATTTTCTTTTACAAAGACCAAAATACTGAGGACTAGTGTTCTCGTCTGCAATTGGGAGATGTACTCGGTGTACCAACGGGACAAGAAGTGTTGCATTTTTTGTTGGATCAGCTGGTAGCGTGGAAGACGATTCTCGGGTGTATTAGTATAATAGGCTTCTGGTAGACTATTCAGTTTTTCACAGATTAAGATATGCGCGGGAGCTATGCAATTGGGATCATTAGAATCACTGGATTAGGCATACATGGGGCGGGAGTTGAGGCAAGATTCGATCTGAACTAACACGGTATTGAACTGAGCATTGAAGTGAGTGAAAGACCGCCAGAATGAGGGGAATTGGTGGAATAAACATTCAAGTAATGCCATCATTACTTAATTGAATTTGAATGTTGCTCGAATTATTTTTAAAGAATTTGCTTAGTTTAGCCTTTGCACCAATAAAGTTTGTGCCATCATCTGAAAATATTTTACGACATAAACCATGTCTTGACATAAAACGCTAAAAAATTGTTACCGACCAATTCTAGGTGAAATGTCTTTGCTAAAGCATACGAAGGTACATATGTAGGCTTTGGTAGTTTGATAATTGCGGGTTTTTCTATCTTTTAAGGGACCAGCATAATCTGTTCCGCAATTTAAGAATGGTCTGTGAGGTTAAGTTCTTTCAGGGAGTAAATCACTCATAAGATATTTAGTAGTGCTTGAATTAAAGCGAAAACAACACAAGCAATCGTGTACCACTTTTCGTACCAAGTTACGTCCATTTAATGGCCAATATCGCTCTCGAATGATTGCTAATAATAACTGAGGACCGACGTGTGCAGACTAAATATGTTTATGATGAGTGTACACTTAGTAAATATGTGATTTTTTGGTAACACGATGGAGTGTTTTTTGTTAAATTATATTAAGATCTCTTTAAACGTCCGCCTACTCTTAAAATACCAAAAGAATTTAAGAAAGGGTTCAGATTAAGGAAACTGCTTTTAGAATTGACAGGTTTTTAAATTTATAAATCTTCAATTTACAAATTTGAAAGATTCTTGTTGGACAATAAGTATAAGGATAAGTAAAGACTTATCTAATTCTGAGGCACTCAAGGAACCTGTATGTTTAGTATTATTACATTTTGAGTTATTGGAAAATCGAAGTTGTTGAAATCAGAACCTTTGTTGATTTGATCTCAGGTATTTCAGTTAAGTCTGAAAGAAAGGGTTGATTAGAAAGGTTGAAACTTTGCACGAAGATGAAGCAATCGTGGTAGAACCTCGGGAGAGTATGTCAGCGGGATTTTTATCAGTGCAGATGTAGTTGCATTGTAAAGCATTGGTTAAGGTTTGTATTTGTGCCACGCGATTGGCTACACCGAGAAAACGAGGTTTATTAAACATGTTTGATAGAAATAAATTTAATTGTCACTAACAAATTACTTCATTTTCGGTTAATACCAGTAATTAAACAAATGTTACTGGAAATGTATTAATTTGAAACTGCTGTAACTAGTCAATTCTTTAATAACCAAAAGGCATATTAATAAAAACCTTAATACCCACTAGCTTTCTGATTACTATTAAACTGCTTTAATGGTGTCTATTAAACACTTTAATAGCAGTTAGCTAACCCTAATTAAATGTTCGATAACTACAAGTAAGTTCTAACGATTCTTATCCCCTACATACTCTAAGTGATGTAGATTTAGAAGCTCAATAATCATTTGCGTCATAGCATGTAATAAAGAAACAACTCTAACCCTATGGAATTTAGTGTATTATGTGGTACGAGTAAATCGTGTTCCAGTGAGTTGGAATGTATAATGAATTATACAGAATTACTTAAGAATTGGAGATGCCGGTCGTTGTTTTGGTATGTGTCTTTTCTAACTAATTCGAATTATATCCATAAAAACTGTTAGTAGTACCCTATTTATAAAGTTCATTTCCTGTTATAAAAACTATACCAAGTTTTGGAAAAATTGACCCACAGTCATCCAGATAATATAACCTTTTTCTATATAGGTATTTTTTTCTTGAACTAAAAATAAAAACGAGTGAGGTACTAACCTAAGGTTTGCATGTGGTTATGTTTCATATAGTTAGATAGAGACAATTACCAGTTATTGAAGAAGGAGATATTTTTGAACGACCTCTATGAAACTATTTAATAATCCTAATTCAAATGGTTTAATAGACAGTATTAGGACCTGCAAATATCCATCATTAAAGCCATTAATAACAGTTATTAAATTATCAATACGTGTAAACTAATTGCTATTAAGCTGTTCAATATCTATCATTACCCTGTTTAATAATGGCTATTAAAGTAGTTAGTTCCTTCTAATAAACTGTATAATACCTGTTACCAAATTAATTTACTAATGATAAGCAAAGATTTTCATTTGTTTTACTTGTGATAATAACACTGATCCAAGAACAAAAGTTTAATATGTGCTATTAATCAGTTTAGCTGTCTTATATAGCAAAGTTTTCTCTTGATGTACAAATGTTTTTAATAAATGAGGTGAGGTATTGATCCAGGAAAGAATAATGGTAGAATCAGAATAGTATGTTTAATCGCTAATATTTAATTGAAGAGCTATTACAACCTTTTTCATTAATTCAGCAAGGAATAGGGCTGCACACAATTCCAGTCTGGGAATGGTAATGGTTTTTAGTGGAAATAGTTTAGTTTTCGAGCATATTAGACTAGAACGGTAGGTATCGAAAATATCTAGAAACCGTGCATAAATACAACAACCGTAAGCTGACTCCGAAGCGCATTGAAGACTCATTTACAAATATTTTTAAAGGGTATTTTGAAGTTGTTCTGAAACTTCTTAAATTGATTCTCCTCCAGACAGAAGATCATCAACATAGAAGTCATCTTTGATGATAAAGCCTAACTTGGGATTTTTTTATTCAATATCAATTTCGATTTGATACAGACACCTTGTCGCTAAAAAGGCCGATGAGGCAAGGCCATATGTTACAGTGTCGAGCTCAAAAGCAGTGTGTCTATTCGATTCGATTGCCAAATAATGTTTTAAAGATTTCGTTGATCTTTATGTATAAGTATTTAACCAATAAACCACA